CGCCCGTAACGCGGAGGACGATCCCCCATGTCCCCCTCACTTCGAGTCGGCACACGACAAGCCCCGAAGTGCTGCGGAGGGCGCTGCAGATCGCCGGCGCGGCGAGCGCCGCTCACTCACTCCGTCATAACCCTCCACGCCTCCACCTTCGAATCAGGACCACCACGATAGCACGAGTCGAGCCGGCTGAGCCTGGCGCCGCTGGCGCGGCTGGCGCCGGTCACTCCGGGCGGCAAACGCAGCGGCGAATGAAACCAGCAGCAGCCGACAATGAGGCGGTGACGCAGTGAGCGCAGTGACGAGCGCCTCCGCCTTTGCCAAGAAGAAGGCAGATCTGTTCTGCGCCGCAGGCTGTCAAAACTGAGTTTGCAGAATTCTCCGAAGAATGTGGAGAGGCACCACTTGCAGTGCCGTCTGCCGGTGTTGCCGGATGCTGGACCGGCGGCCGGTACGCTGGGCTTGGCATCCTCTTCGAACGTTGAGTGCAAGTGGCGAGTGGCAAATGCATGGCCAGCACAGCTCCGTCTCGGCGATCAGCATGCACCGCCTCGCTGTCGCGCGCTGTCCAGGCCCGCCGAGAACGACGGTCGGCGATCTGGCAGTGTCAGCGTCAGCGCAGATGCCGGCGGTATCTCCCAGGGTCTGGGAGGGTCCGTGCCCGAGCCTGGCCACTGCAAGTTGCGTCGGCCCCGCCTGCGAGCCTGCCTGCCTGTGCTCCTCCGATTCGGACCTGCGCAAGCAGCCCCAGCGCGAGCGGAACGGCGAGCACCAGGAATGGGCCAGCCAGTCGGATTGCGATATCCGCCGAAGCATCAGATCTGCCCTCGTCCCCACTAACCCAAGCCGCAGGGAAGGGCCGGCGTGTGCTCGTGCCCTTCGTGCCCTCCACAGGATCACAGGATCGAGGAGGGGGGATTTGACGGTTTGTGTGCAGATTTTCAAGCCCCACTGTGTGCGTGCCAGTCCCACTCTACATCTGGCAGATCACACTGCATTGTGCCACTTTGCATCGACGATGGAACCCGATTCGGACTGCCTGTAGTTGCTGCGGAGCGTGTGGCGGCTCCGAGGTGGTCAGCTGACACACCGTCGCCTTTTGCACGATTAAGCGACGGACGGGCTAAGCGACGGATTACCATGAGTCGATGACCCCCAAGCATCCCCAGTACCCCGGGTCCCCCGGATCACATGACGGGCGATGCACCTTGCACCTTAGCGCCCAGCGACATGCCATGCGCCGTGCGCTCGGGCTCGTCAATGCCATGAGCCTTGATTGCGAGCGCGAGAGACGTGCAGACGTCGAGCTTCAGGGTAAAGACCTTACCCCAGAGCAATCGCAGGAATGAGGGAGGAGGCAGCCTAGGGTCGGCTCAGGACCGGCGACCCAGGATCGCACAGCAGGCAGATCTCCAACTTGCAATGCAAGCAGCGGTGGATGATTCCAGTTTCGATGCTTGTCAGAGAGTGGCTTGGATCATGTCCTCGATTAGCCGCAGCGGCAGCTCACACGATCTCCTCCGGTGCATCCGGTGCTCCGGCGCTATTCCTGCTTCCGGGGGTTCTGGAAGCGCCTCTCCGCATGTTCCGCAGCAGGACGCCACTCACACCGATTGCATCATTATGCAGCATCATTGCAGTGTCCCAGCTTACCCAGCTGTGAGCTGTGAAGCTGCTCACGGCGGATATGCTCGGCGTCAGGGAAGGACGCCAGCGCGCCGTGCCCCATACGCCAGTTACGCCAGATGCGCCAAGTACGCCTGCGTTATGACGAGGCGGCTCCTCGTTAAGGCTGCCTCGCAGCTGGCCGCTGACGCGCTGGGCAAAGTTGAGCCGATGGGCGGGCGCTAGGGCCGACGGATCGACGTTGCGCAGTGCTTTGTCACTCAGTCCCAGCCATCATCGACGAGTGAATGGGCAGCCGAGTGGGAGAGAGAGTGACATTGTGTGTGTGCGAGTCGAAATAGAAGTCTGGACCGGAAGTGGCTACTGAGCCATGGCGAATGCATGTGGGTTTGCAGAATTGGTGGCACTGGAAGAATCAGAAAGAGTAATCGACTAATTGGTGTGTGTGTAATCGAAGGGCTCAGAGGGACTAGGACGGGCGACTAGAACCCGTGCCCCCCGTGATTAGACGCCGGTTCCCCACTCTACCACAGCAGTCCAGACACCCAAGGGTCCCTCTCGGCCCTGGCCCCTTGCGCCTGACAGCCTCAAGCTGAAGCGCGGGCACGACCCGACCCCCGGCTTTTCCTTCCCGGGCTCCTAAGACTTATCGTTGCACGCATCGACCATTCCTCCTCCTCCTCACTACCACTCCTCCTCCTCTTCCACTTCACATCTCTTGTCTCGACTGCATACCTGAGAGCGACCACCGCAACCCACAAGTCCACCCACGGACACCACTCTCCCCTCTTCTCACATCCCACATCCCACGCCCACCACCACCACCGTCCCCACCGATCTCCAGCCCTCAACCATGCACCTAATCATCAACGCGTAGAACAGGCTGCACGCCGCCCCGACAAAGATCCCTCTCCACTTTCCACTCCTAGTTCAACACGTATCCGAGCCGCACCTTCCTCCACGCGGCCGCCTGCCTGTGCCCATCACCTGCCTGTCACCCGTCGACGCCATAGTCCGCGCCCGACCACCATTTCAGCAATACCCCGCTGCCCCTCCTCTCGTCCTCGACAGAGCTGCCCTGCAACCATGTCTCACGCTACTACCGCAGACGAGACACCCGCGTCTCAACCCTCCACGGGCGAGCCGACCGACCCGGACCCTTCTACCTCGTCGCGGTCTCCCTCTCGTGCATCCTCTCGCACCCAATCCAAGAATACTCCCCTCCTCACTCTCGCCCCGACCGGCCGCCAAACGCCACAGGACGAGGACATCCCTGCCATCTGGAACGGTTCGTTGATCAGCTGACCATGCCGCGAAGCGGCGTTGCGCTGGCCCCTCTTTTGTCGTGCTGATATCTCCACCAGTCATCTCCCGCGCGCAAGACGTCGTCAAGGACGCCGAGCGGCTCGAGAATCTCACGTGGAGGTGAGTTTGCAGACGGGCGCGCGCCGCCCTTGGGACGCGCCCTGCTCGCAACCTGCCCGCACCGGCTAGCTACAGCCTGTGTGTGCGACCGAGAGGTCGGCTGACTTTGTTCCACAGGCACTGGGGCAGACCACAGCGCCGCCGCAGGTCGAGTTCCATCGACACGGCGTCTTCTGCCAGTGTGCACACACCTCATGAGCCTGGGCCTATCCGTGACAAGAGTGCCGAGCGCCGCTCATTCGCCGGCACGCTGAAACTCTTGGTCGAGGACGACTCGAGCTTCAAGGACTGGGTTGGCAGCGCCAAGAGCCAGCAGCAGCAATCCAGCAACTCGCTTTCACCCTCTCGCTCCATTGCCGACTCTCACGGTACCTCGGATTCGCAGCGAACGCCGCACCCGCATCAGTTCGGTCTCGCCTTACCGCCAGAGACGCCGACCGCGGGCTCGCTTCAGTCTCAGCACTCGCCACACGCCGTCGGCGCGCTGACGCCTGTCCCGGATCTGGAGATCCGACTCGTCGAGCCGACTCCTGTGCCGAGCCGCGTTGGATCGCTCGGAGGTGTAGCTTCCGACCGCACCACTGCCACTCGCCCCGCGACGCAGCCCCAGGTTGCTGAAGTCGAGGAAGAGGACGCTGCCCGTGCCGCCGACGGCCAGAAACAGCCTCGGACCCGCAAGGGTAAGGGAGGCGGGTTCTTCATTCAGTCGTCACCCGGGAAGGCGAGCGAATCTGAGTCCCCAAAGTCACAACCGTCACCTGTCGTTGCACCGGTTACATCAACGAAGGCCCCGCCGGGTGGAACTGCTGGCCCCAGCCGTCCCACGCCACCGTCGGGAGAATCTGAATCCTCAAACGCTATTGTCATGAACAAGAAGAAGGACCCTCGTCGTGCGATCTCGATGGCGACCATGCACGGTCGCTTCCAGGGCGAGAAGCGCCGCGCCGCTCAAGCAATCGCCGCCCGTAACGCGGAGGACGATTCAACGACTGCGGCGGAAGACGACAACGATGACGAGTGGGAGGACGATGATGATGAAGACGACGATGACGGCTGGGAGGATGAAACGCCCAGCGATCCCAAGCCGGTTCAGGCTCAGCCCATGGTCCGCCAGACGAGCCGCGGCCTTCAGCTGCCGCCCATCCAACTGCCCGTTTCGGCTGCGACCAAGAAGCAGCGTCAGGCAGAGAAGGCGCGGCTGGAGGCTGAACGCGAAGCCCAACGTCAGAGGGAAATGTTCGCGAAACAGCAGATCTTTGGTCATCCTCAGGGCGGCGAAGGTCTGCTGACGCGCCAGTTCAAGACGGGCAAGAGCATGGTGGATCTGACCAAGGCGGGCGAGGAGCCCTCGGCGCCCCCAGGACTGCGACGAGCGCCGACCCACGCCAACTTTTCCACGATGGGCCAGTCGCCGACCGCGGGCCCGCCGAACCTGATGCGTTCCAAGTCGACGGCGGCAATGCCCGTCCAGACGGGTGTCAGCGTGACGTCCCGCCGGAGCCACAATTCCGGACACAGCGACGAGAAGCGCGGCCCCGAGGGCGTGGAAATGGAATCCTCGGATGAATCTGACGAGGACGACTACCTCGCGTCGACGGCCGTGGAGCGCAAGCTGAACCAGCTTGCGGCGAAGCGAGCCGCCAAGGACAGTGGCGCAAACAGCGTGCCGATCGTACCTAACGGCAGCGCTTCGGGACAGGCCCTGGACGAGAACGGGGTCGTCCGCCCGCTCTCCCCCACGACGCGACGGCGCACGATCATCATGCGCGAAATGTCGGAGAGCCTCCGAAGGAGTGAGTACTTTGGCCCGTGCGAGATGGTGAAACGTTTCACTGACCCCAACAGACATTATCCTGGAACGCGAAAAGTCCTCGGGCGGCGTGGGGCCGCATACCCGCCCGCCACCCTCGACGCACATGAGCCGGCTGCCGACGAGCAACTCTGCAGTCAACCTCGCCCAGTACCGTGACGGCAGGCATGGGCCGCCATTATCGCGGCACAACAGCAACTTCCAGCTCAGCACGGGCGGGGAGGAGCTGCGCGGCCCCGAGCTAGAGCGGCACAACAGCCACCCAGACCTAATCCAAACTCGGGGTCATTACGAGTATCCGCGCAACCCGGCCAGTTCCTCGGGCGGATCGCGGAGCACCTCCCCTCTGCAGCCAACAGCCTCCATCTCGCCCGAGACTTCGCGGAAGCGCGCCAACGTCCTCGGGGGCGGCTTCTTACGCCCCCTGACGCGGGCAACAGACGAGGCATCCAGCCACGCCCTGGGCCGGACGCAGAGCAGTCTCTCCATCAACGGAAGTCATGGCGGTCATGGGAGTGGATCGGGCAGCGAGCGCGCCGGCCCCGGCGTCCACGGCACGCAGCAGCGAAGCGTCACCCTCAATGGCCCCCCCGGGCGGCGCGGGAGCGACCGCAGCATCGCCTCCGCGACCGCCATGGTGAGGTCTAGCACGGAGGGGGACCAGAAGGAGATGGAGCGCGCGCGCGTACGCCGCGAGCTTGCGCGCCGCGACGATACGAGTTACAGGAGTCATGGGTGGTAGCGCGCGGAGCGGCGGAGCAGCGCCAGCTGCGACGCTGGCGACGCTCGGTACCACTACCCGCCATGGTGCCGCCCCGAGTAGCACGCATCCGAGCACCGTGGCACTCCGAGGCTCGAGGAGAGAGCGGAGCGAGAGAAGAAGAAGCGAAGGAAAGAAGAAAAACAGCAAGAATAAGCGCAAAGAAGTACCAGAAGTCCCATGGCGCGCGTACTCTGCCGCCACTCCCATATTCCCCCATCACACAGCAAACCACCACCACCCCACCACCACCACCGCACACCAACACACAATCCAACCAACCAGGCCAAGCAAACAATGTAAGGGTTTTCCTCTTTTTTTCAACTTCAATGAAAGATCCAACGCCACGTCTTCTTTCTTTCGTACTCTGTTGTGTCATGATGCTATGCAGTAATAGCTCCAATGGTCGAGCGACGCGCGAAGTGCGGAGCGGGGAGGGAGAGTGTCTTGGGCGAAGGAGTGCTCAGCGCGAGCCCATAGATCGTAGATCGAGTTCGCCACGAAGCTTAGGAGCAGAAGGGCAAGTGGTAACGAGGCGGGAGGGACCGGCGCTGAGCTTGCAGAAGTAGGAAAGAGTCCATATAACATTACAACGGCACACTGTCTATATCACTTCGCTTCGCTTCGCTTCGCTTCGCTTCGTTTGTCACTAGTTCTTCTCCGACACAGACACGACATAGTCCCGGACGGGGAGGAAGCGATGCTTGTGTTTGTTCAGGTACGGCCACGCGGGTCCGACGGCCTGGGCGTTAGCTCATGAAGATGCAGCTTCTCCCAGCTCCGTAACCGATCCGATGGCTCAAGGGGTGAGGCAGGTGGAGACCAACTCACGAGACAGAGCAGGACAAAGGCGACCGTGAAGATCTCGAGCGGGAGGAGGACGGTGTGTGTCGCGAACGAGACGAGGAAAGCGATGGCCTGTTGTGTGAAGCGGGGCGGAGTGAAGAGAGGGTGAGACACGTCGGAGCCGTGGATCGGTGGGAGCGGGGCGGTGCGGCGGCGTCGCAGTCGTCGTGGGCAGTGACCGAGCGAATAGGCCGTATATAAGAGCAACGTCCAGCCAAGGCGAGCATGGTCAGGCAATAACCACGCACAATCAGAGTGGCCGTTGATATTGACAAAGAGCAGGAACAACATCATCGACAGAGCAAGTTCGAGGAAGGAACGACATCAGCTCACGAAAGACACGACCAGAGCTGGACTTACCACGACAACAGCCAAGTAGACGTGGGTGTACGTCTCGAGCCGGCGCTGGGTGTACGGATCGATTCCTCCCTCGAGCGCGCGCTGGACCGAGGCGGGGAGGTATTCCATTTTGTTGTTGTGAGTTGGACGCAAGACGTAGCTACGCCGCCGCCTTCAAGATCGACACGATGAGGGTGGACAGGGACGTGGACTTGGCGGGCCGGTCCACGTGCGGTGTCACGTGACACAGTCGTGGGATTAAGGAAGGTGGGGCCACGAAGCTAATCTGGCATATTAGCCGGAATTAGCTTGCCGCTTGACTGCATTATGAGGAATGCTAAATGACCCACATAGGTTGATGTGCAGCGGCATGCAACCTGCGAGAGTGCGAAGAGGAAACCACACAGCTGCCTTGGAGCTCCGCTGGCACAGCTGAACGGCTAGTCCGAGGGATGCTGGCAATGCTCTGACAACGTTGGCTACCGCCCTGCCCACCCACGGAATGACTTCGATTCGCTGCCGCGGCGTCTTGAGTGGTGACCCCAATCGAGCTCCGGGGTCTGGGGTCGTCGTAGCCCTGCCGAATGCCTCGGAGGCCCGGCGACCCCGCACTCCGGCAGACCGGCAGAGCCAAACATCGACCCAGGGTGGCGACAGAGCTCGCGCCCATTGACCACTGACCATGAGTCATGACATCTCCAGTTGTTGACAGCAGGCTATGAGGGACGAGTGGGCTGCGACCTCGTGGCCCATTCCGCGTGGTAGCTAGTCACCCAGGCAGAGGAATGACAGCGCGGGGATTGCGCGGGGTTAGTCCATGCACTAGCTGCTAGTGCATGTTTGCAGTATTGGGACAAGCATATGGTAGGCCAGTAGCGTTGTGCATGTGTGTGTGTCTGTTCTCGAACTCGAGGAGGATGCTGCAAGAGACGACGGCAGCGATGACGATGATCTCAGTTATGACACAATGACGTGCAGCTGGCTAAAAATTAGAGAAGGGGTGACGTCACTGCGCGCCGTCTACATACCGGAACGAGCAACCCGGGACGAACAAAGGCCCAGGGGCCAGAGCCCTTTGGCCAACTGCAGACACGGAGATCAGACCAATGTCAGGATCAGAAGGGAACCAGGGGTCAGGCCCGATCTCCCCTCTCCTGCTCTCTGGCTGCTCGCTGCTAATGTTCGGACTGACCAACACCCATCATCATCATCATCGCCTGCAAAGTCCAGTCCATTCACTCCGGTCTCGTACCTCGTCCCAAAGCCTCTCCTTTCTTGCCCACTCCCCGAGCCACTGACCACCTGCTCCCCTCTCTTTTCTCTGCTCTCCGTCCATCCACTGAATTCCACCCCCGGTCATCCTGTAGTCGTCACCCACGACCCATCCCAACCCCCGACCACAACCGAAGTTAAATACCCAACTCCACCAGCTCGGCTTGCTCCCCTTTTCCCCTTTCTTCACCATTACCTCCGCAGCCTCCGCCATCGAACAAGCCGTCGAACTTGGCTTAGTGGGCCTCCTGACACGACCTGTTCTCAACGCTGTATACACCTCCACCTCCGACGTCCACGACCACCAACAACAGACAACCGACGACGACGACGACGAAGAAGAAACAGTCGTCTCTTCGCAGATAGCGAAGCACCCAGAACTCCACACTCAGCAGTCCCGCCGCTCTCTCCACCCCCAGCAGTACGAAGCAGACGGAATCGATATGGCGACCGCGACTCAGTCAAGACCGCAGGGTATGACGTCTTCAGCCCCGGACACGAAACGCTCCACCTCCGGCGGCGGCTACAACACGCCTGGCGGAACCCGCATCGACGGTCTACTCACCGACGGCGACAACAACAGCACCCGCTCCGGCGGCTACTTCACGCCCAGCCTCGGCAACAAGCTCGACGGCACCGACAATGACGGCTACTACAACGCCTCGGGCGGCAAGTCGACCCCGAACGGAGTCGACCGCCACAACTCGTCCCAGAACTATCAGAGCAACTCGTCTCAGAACTACCAGAACGGACACCACGACGACGACGGCTCGCTCTCCAAGGGTATCAACTCGATCGGCGCCAGCGGACCCAACGGCTACAACCGCTCGGCGTCGTACAGCTCCAACAAGCGCCCTGGGTGAGTTTCCGGTTGCCCCGCACACGTGCCCGCACGTAAATGTGGGATGGAGCGAAGGAAAACTGACCCCACAGAATGAACGAGCAGCCTTCTCGCTCGTACATCAAGAACCGTGACAGCGACAACCACCCCGGCACCGGTACCCCTCCCGGCAACCAGGGCAACACCACTGTTACCACAACCTTTGTCGAGTTTGACGACACGACTCCCAGCGTCACCGGCGGCCCCACGGCCACGACTGGCGCGACTGGCACGAGCACTCCAGGCACCACTGGCCACACTGGCAACACCGGTACCACGAGCAACATCGGCAACACTGGCACCACTGGCAACACCCGCACGACCGGCACCACTGGTACGAGCACTCCTGGCCAGCCGGGTACTGCTGGTGGCTTGGCCGTCCCGACGACTGGCCAGAGTGGCGCCAACACGCCCGGCGCTCGCAGCGGCCAGAGCTTCCAGAGCGGCACCGGTGTCATGAGCGGTCCTGCTGCTGGCGGCTTCTTCCCAACCGGCGCGAACGCCCGCGGCACGACTCCGACTCCCCAGACGCCCCAGGGCCAGGGCCTGAACAACTCGGTCAACGACAACTACGTCGACCGCCCGGGCAACCAGCTGCACCACGACGATGACGACGTTTTTGGTGTCAACAACGCTAACAATGCCAACAACACCACCAACAATGTCATCACCGGTACCAACGGCACCAGCGGCATCAGCAACCGCGACCTCGGCCCGCAGGAGACGCTTGGCAACGTGCAGAAGCGCCCTCAGCACCGCCACGCCAACAAGAGCCACGGATCGCAGTACATGATCGTTGAGAACTTCCCGCGCCAGGACTCGCGCGCGACCACCCCGCGCCCCGATTACACCGAGTCGGCCGCGCACTGGGACCCCGCCGCCGGCGCCGTTGTTGAGCGCAGCACGCCCCAACACGAGTACCCGCCTCACATTGACCACGACGACCACCATGACCAGCTCTCGCCCACTCAGGACCGCCGTGGCAGCCAGCACAATGGTCTCCGCAACGCTGGCGCCGCTGCCCTCGGGGCTGGTGCCGGTGCAGCTGCCGGGCAGCACTTCGCAAACCGCGACCAGCATGACCACCGCGACAACCAGCCGTACACTGACAGCCGCTACCATGACGACGGTTACGGTAACGACCGTAACTACGGCCCCAACGACCGCAGCTACGGCGGCAACGACCGCGGCGACACTCGTGGTGTCAACTTCCACGATGGCGCGGCCCCCGGCCAGCGCCTGCCCCAGACTGACGGCCGCGACTACAGCGACCGTCAGCGTCAGTCCCAGCTGCCTCAGCAGCGCTACCCTGACTCGCAGCAGTACCAGGACCAGGGCCGTGGCGGACCCACTGTCGCTGCCGTCGGCATCCCTGGCCAGAGTGGCCGTGACAACTACGACCAGGACCGCCGGTACGACTCGTACAACGACCAGTCGTCTCGCCCGCGCTCGCGCCAGACGAGCTTCCGCGACCGTGACGACTACCGCGACGTGCCTTCGCGCCAGCAGTCGCAGCGCGACACTCTGCCCAAGTCGCACAGCGACAGGAACAACCTGGCCGCGGCCGCCACTGGTGCCGGTATCGGCGCTGGTGTCGGCGCCGGCGTCGGCAGTGGTATGCGCCGTTCTGCCTCTGCGGGCTCTGGTCTGATCAGGGGTAACCGCGACCGTCGCGCTAGTGGCGGCGGCGGCTCGATCGGGCACGGTAGCATCAACCGCCCCTCGACCGCCGATGGATACAGGGACCGTGACCGTTTCCGCCGCGGCAACAACGGGTACGACGACCGCCTCCCGCCCGTCGAGGACTACGATGAGGACGACGAGGTTCGCGGCCTTGAGCCCGGCCAGATTGTCACGCCCTCGCGCCAGCGCGCCCTCCAGTCCTCGACTGGTCGTGGCGGCGGTGGTTCCGACTACGACAGTGCGTCGCAGCAGCCCCGCTCCCGCTCCGCCTTCGGCCACCGCCCCCAGCCCGGCGGCCAGAACGGCTACGACGAGTTTGGCGCCGAGGACGACGGCTACGGCCGTGCCCCTACGCGCGCTGGCACTGTCCGCTCCACCCGCTCGCGCCGTCCGGGCACCTCGATGTCTGGTGCGCCGCGTCGCGGCGCCTTCGGCCAGGGTGCTGCCCTCTCGACGGGCACGAACCCGCACGACGTTCTGTCCAGGCAGGACCTGCACGAGCGCTCGTCGCTCGCCGAGCGTGCGCTGAGCCCGAACGAGCTCAAGCGCCTGCAGGGCATGGAGAAGAAGGACGCGAAGCGTCTGACCAAGCTGATGAAGGAGGAGGAGCGTGCGCAGTCCAAGTCGCTGCACCAGGCAATTGCGGACATGAAGCGCTTGACCAAGCTGCAGAAGGAGGCGATTGCGGCCGAGTCCAAGTCGCAGCGCAACCTCGCCAAGTGGACGAGCCGCGAGCACAAGGCGCGCCTCCACTTCCTCAAGGAGAAGGAGCGGTACGAGGCCATCGAGGCCAAGCTGCGCAACGCCGAGAACGACTTTGAGGAGCGCCGCGACCACGCCTACGGCCTCACGGAGCAGGTCGCCGAGCGCAACCAGGAGATCGACGACATGCGCGCCCTCAAGGCCGCCGACGACCGTGAGCGCGCCATCAAGCGCACCACGCTTAAGCACCCAGGCCACGCCTAAGCTCCACGCCTAGTTTTACCTACGCTCTCCGACCATTAATCTTCGTCCCCCTATCTGAGTTCTCAAAAGTTACCACGCCCTACTCCTACCCTAGACCGAAACACGTAGTGATAGTGCAGCGTTTATAGTAGTGCGGCCTCTGAAGCTGTACGAGTAATTCCTAGTTATCGATTATTTTGCAATGATGAAGTCTTGTCTGAAGAAAAAGCTAGTTGCTAGCAAAACGCTCGAAATGCCACTGACAGAATAGGGGGAACACGTGGTCCTCGGCAGACTGGTGACGGAAATGCGAGCCGGGCGAATCCGAACCCGGGCGGACGAGTGAGTCGCCTGAGGGCAGCAACCGAAGCGGCGGATCGCGGCGGAGGCTGAGGCGGGCAGAGCCTCCGGAAATCTAAGTCGGTCGTTCCTCCACCTTTTGCCAGGCGAGCCCATATAACCGTTCTCTCCTCGTCTCCACACCTCTCCCAACACCTTTGCCATGTCCGGAGACGCCCAGAAGCCCAACTATGGCGACTTCCTGTCGCTCGAGGCGCGCACGCGCGCCCGGTCCGCCATCAAGCAGCTCCGGCCCTACTTTGAGATTCCGGGCATGATCTCGGTGAGTACGGAGACGAGACTGGGGGTTGGAAGAGGGGAAAGCTGAAGGGCCTTGGGAGCATAGCTGACTCCAGTTCGGTGGTGGGTACCCTCACCCTTCGACGTGGCCCGTGAACGGCATGACGCTCAGCGTGCCGTTTGCGGAGAAGAGCGTGTTCGTGCCGGGGTACGAGAGTGAGTCGATCTCCGGGTTCTTGTTCCGGGGAGCTGGGAGGCGGCCGCACGCGCCGCTTCCATGCTCCGCAACTCTGCGGCCGAGTCGAGGGCTTGATGCTGACAACAAGCGACGAGCGCGGACAAGCTCCACCCTCTGGAGGAGTATGTGAAGCCCGCGGCCGGCGAGCCGCTGGACCCGAACCTGGCCGTCGAGCTGCAGTACGGCAAGACGTACGGTGCGCCTCACCTCGTCGACTGGCTCACGGAGCACATCAAGCGGACGCACAACCCGCCAAACGACAACTGGGAAGTGCTCAACACGGCAGGCAACACGGACGGGTTCGACGGCCTGCTGCGCACCCTCTTTGAGCGCGGGGACAGCATGCTCGTCGAGGAATTCGCGTACCCGGGTTCCCTTGTTGCGGCGCAGACGCAGGGCGTGTCCTGCGTCGGCGTGCCGATGGACGGGGACGGCATCCTCGTGCCCGAGATGGACAAGATTCTGTCCGAGTGGGACGAGGGCAAGCGCAAGGCGCGCAAGCCCAAGGCCGTCCTCATGGTGCCCACCTGCAGCAACCCGACGGGATACACGATGCCGGCCGCGAGGAAGCGGGACCTCTACGCCGTCGCGCGCAAGCACAACATTCTCATCTTCGAGGACGACCCGTACTGCTTCCTCCAGATCCGCAAGTACGACGATGCCGGCAAGCTCCTCCCGATCGAGGAGACGTTCCTCTCCATGGACGTCGACGGACGCGTGCTCCGTCTCGACTCGTTCTCCAAGATTGTCGCCCCCGGCAGCCGTTGCGGATGGCTCACGGGTCCCCGCGAGATTGTCTCTGCCGTCATGCAGCGCTCCGAGGCGTCCACGCAGTGTCCCTCCGGCTTCACCGTCAGTGCCATCGCGGCCGTCGTGCGCGCCTGGGGCGGCCACGAAGGGTTCGAGCAGCGCTACCTCCCCCACATCTCCAAGGTGTACGAGGAGCGCGCGCGCGCCATGGTCTCCTTCTTCGAAAAGTACCTCCCCAAGGAGGCGGCCGAGTGGCCTGCCCCCTCCGGGGGCATGTTCATCTGGCTCCGCCTCCGTGTCGAGAACCATCCCAAGCGCGACGAGCTCAGTCCCGAGGACGTCGCCGAGCGCGCGTTCCAGAAGGCCGTCGAGAACAAGGTCCTCACCGTCCCGTCCAAGTTCTTCAAGGGCGAGGGGCTCCCGAACTGGACAAAGGAGCAGGAGCAGAAGCGCATCTTCCTCCGTATCTGCTACGCCACCCCGACGATTGAGCAGCTCGAGACCGGTGTCCAGCGTCTCGCCGAGGCGCTCAAGGCTGAGTGGGAGCTGTAGGGTGTAGTGATCATGGCGTAGATAAGTATAGGTAAATTGGCATGCACGATCGCTCTCCCGTCTGATTGCTCAAGACTATAATGATGCATCAAGTGTGTACACAAAGCGGGATCCTAATAATGCATGTTCTAGTACTGCACGACAAGCGTGCTTTTACTCGACAACCTCCTCCTCCTCGCCGAGGAGCTCCTCGGTCCACTCCTCGATCTTCTCCTCGTCCTCCTCCTTGGGCTGGGCCTTCTTGAGCTCCTTGCCGAGCTGCTTGCGGGCAGCAGCGAGGCGGGCGTTGTTGCGCTGGCGCCACGCGTCCCACTCGGCAATCTCGCGCTGGCGCTGGGCGAGCTTCTCGGCGCTGCCGCGGTTCTCCTCGGCGGCGTCGTCCTCGTCGAACTGGCGCGAGTACTCCTTGAGCTCGCGGCGGATCTTCTTCTGCTGCTCGCGCGACAGGAGCGTCTTCGGGCGCGGGCGCCACAGGAACTGCTTGAACTTGTCCTGCGTAGAGTGGTTGAGCAGCTGGCCAGAGAAGCTCCACAGGTTGTAGCCCGGCTCCGGGGTCGAGCGCCACGACGAGGCAGACGAGGCAAGGTAGCGTCCACTCGGGTCCCAGGCCATGTCGGTGATACCGTAGTGCTCGCCAGTGGCGAGGAGCTGGACGTTGGCTCCAGGCTCGGCAGACTCGCGCTTGGCGGCAGAGTCGTCGAGGGTGAAGTCGAGGTCCCAGAACTCAATGTCGAACTTGGTCGGCGAGCCCATCGTGGCGAGGACAATGTGGCGACCGCGAGGCGACCACATGAGGGTGTTGGCGACCTTGCCCTCGAGGTGCTTGATGGGGGTGAAGTCGCCCTTCTTGGGGTCGGGCTGGTAGAAGGAGACGGTGTACTTGACAACGGCACCCGGGACGTTCTGGCCAAAGTTGGGGTCGTTGGTCGAAACAATGGCGAAACGGTTTCCATTGGGCTCCCAAGCGAACGAGGGGACGTAGTCCTTGTGCTCGATGACCTCGACGGGGTAGTCCTTCTCGCGGAGACGGAAGAGCTCGAGGTTGCAGAAGGTAGCCTTCTTCGACTTGGCCTTGCGCGCGTGGCGGTCGACCTTGACGCAGAGGTAGTCGCCCTGGTTCTGCCAGTAGAACTTGCAGTCCGTGACGTTGAACAGGTTCTTCGAGCGGAGAATCTTACGGCTGGGGATGGCCATGAGGTTGACACGGGCGGGCTGGTTCTGAGCCTCAGGGGTCCAGTAAACAAGCATGCCCTCCTTGCGGGCAGCCCAGTCCTTCTCGCTCATGGGGCACCAGTCAAAGTCCTGGACACCCTCAATCTTGATCGACTTCTTGTCGAGGAGACCCATGCCCGGGAGCTCGTAGACCTGGATCGCGTTGCCGATCTGGCAACGGGCCACGTACTGGTCATCGGGCGAGAAGCGGAAGACGGGCCACGCCTGCTGGGGACGGGGCGCGTCGGGGTCCGAAGGGGGAGCGTCCGCGCGGAACGAACGGAGAGGACGAGCAGACTTGACGTCCCAAATGACGAACTGAGCGCCCTCGTCCTCAGGGCCAAAGGTCTCGCGGACAGCGGGGGCGGGGTGGTTCTCGACAACGAGGGGCTCGTCGGACCAGGTGACGAGGTAGTTCTCGCAGGGAGAGAACTGGACCATGCGAACACCGGGGTGGGTGAAACGGAGAACGTTGACACCGATAGGGCCATCGAGCTTGGGTCCAGACCAGAGAGCAACACCGACACGGTGAAGCGAGGCGAGGTAAGTACCGTTGGGGGACCACTGCAGGTAAAGCTCAGCCCACTTGGGGTTCTTGATGTTCTTGCCGTCCGAGTCCTTAACGGGGTCGGCGGTTCCGTTGCGGCTGTTCCACCAAAGGTTGACGTCCTGGTCACGGAAGGTAAGGTACTGGTCACGGCCAGCAGCGTCGCCGAGCCACGAACGGAGGTGGTCCTTCTCGACGTAGGGCTTCTCGCGCCAGCCGGTGGGGAGCTCACCCTCGCCGATGGGCATGTTGGCGAACTTCTCAATGTCACCGAAGCGGTTCACGTGGAGCTGGTTCTTGGAACCAAAGTTGACACCGTCAAGGGCACGGAGCGCGTGCTCGGCCTCCTGGGGGGTGGGGTAGGTCAAGAAAACGAAGCCCTTGTTCGATCCGTTCTCCCAGGGCATGTTGATGCGGTCCTCCTCAATGGGAGCACCAGCCTTGGCGATGACCTGGCGGAGACGGTCGAGAAGACGGGCGCGCTTGGCCTCGTCAACGGTCGGGAGGTTGTCGACAACGAGAACATTCTCAAAGCCCTGCTGGGTGTCGGGGGCGAACTGCTGCTCGATCTCGGCGTAGCCCTCGTCGAGCTCGGCCTGAATGTCGCGGCGCTCCTCTTCGCTGAATCCTGCTAGGTCGGCGTCGACCATTTTTAATTGTCTATAGGTGGTGTCTAGGTCTACCTGCAAGCGCCCTTTGCCTCTAAGACAATGACAGCGAAATCTCGCTGGCGATGGACGCGGTGCGGCCTTATCGCCGGGGAATAACCCCGTGTGGCACTCTGCTCTCAAGGCACCATCACTGTACAAGCCATGTTTGATGGAAATCTCTTGCACACAGCGTCCATGCTTCCATAATGCACATCGGGAGAATGACTATAATACACAGCTACTTGCGGGGGGGAGGGGCGGTTCTTGAGGGAAGTAGATTGAACAGATCGCCGGTCGGGCTATACTACAGGATCGGGAAGGGTGAAGGTGATGCTGCGGACTTCTGAATTCTTTGCCGGCTGAAAACAGTCGAACGGCGCGGTTGGACTTTGAAATTGGACATTTTCAGTGCATGGTAGGGCGAGGAATGGCCGACGTGGCCGACGTCTTGACCCAGTTCTTGACTGAACCGTTGCGGACTGCGTCCGAGCTGACATACTTATTCTCAGGCGGCGCCTGCGTGTCGACCGTCACGCCGAAGGCGGCCAAGGGCGAGGGGGACCGGCCGACCGGGCTGTCGCAGGGGGGTGTCGGGGTGGAAGAGGAATAGGTTTGCTGAGCCTGGTAGGGGACGTGAAGGCGGAGGGGCTCTGGCTGCTGGAGGGGCTGCTGCTGCTGCGGCTGCTGGGACTGCTGCTTGGTGATGCGCTTCTGCCTGAAGTCGTACAGCTTGGAGGATCCCTTCGCGTTAGCATCGCAGGAAACCAGTCATCTACCTTGAAGCGCGGGTGACCGAGGTAAGTCAGCAGGATCAGCTTGCACATGTAGTAGCGGGCTGGATCGTTAGCTGGTTTGTGAACCGGACCGTCGGTGCTCCTTACGAATTCTGTCAAGAACCCAGGTCGGCACACAACCCTCTACCGTCTGAAACAGGCCGAGCGCGACATAGAACGTGAGAAGATGCTTCACGTCCTCCTTCTCGTCCGTGAGAGCCCTGTACGAGTGGTACGTGGGGCGCACTGCAACGATGGCTGTAGTAGCCGGAGCCGCCAGCCCCAACAGATTGGCTGGGACAAAGGCGATGAATCTGAGAATGTCAGCTTGGCTGCACAGATCAGATGTCGGGGGCGAGCGATCTGGACCAGGGCCCAGGCAGCACGACCACGTCATACTGCCACGATGATGAGAACGATGGGGTCGCCGGCAGGCTTCCATGACACTCACAGCAGCAGACCCGCGAAGACGAGGAAGAGGCGATCGATGCCGGTGATACGCTCAGCGTCGACGACAGCCTCGGAGCGGCCGAGCAGGTCGCGAGCATTCTGGGCTTGCTTGGCACAAGCGTCGCTGGCGCGCACGGCCGTCGGGTGCTTGCGAAGCTTTCCGACTTGGCGGCGAGCGCTGTCCGCAGCCTCCTGCGCACGCTTGTACGCTGGGTGAGAACTGACGGACTTTCGCAGCACGTTCTTCGACGGTGGCGCTGTGCTCGCGTTGGAGTTGGACTTAGTGTTGGAGATGTCGAGCTTGCCGAGCTGAGGGGGAGGAAGCTGGGGAGCGAAGGAGGCGTCTGGAGTGGAAGGCGGCACCGCCGGTGTGCTGTGAGACCCAGGAGACGACATGATTGTTCGTATTGGGAATGTAGGTGAGGTGGAGAAAAGGGAAGGAAACGAAGAGGTGGACCGCGCTTAAGAAGGTCGGGAAACGGAAACGAGTGTGAGCTTGAGCGGCAAAAGTGAAGCGGTGGCGGCGGTGGTAGTTCGCTTGCGAGCGCGAGAGGCTGGGGATGCGATGGTGATGCAAGGCCGAGCTGCGTGCGAGTGTCTAGGACTCTTGTATGAGCGTGGGTGCGCGTTTGCGGCTGCCGAGTGTGTGTAACAGATAAGGGCGGCGCCTGGTCACGCATCCCACGCAGCCGCCTGAATCATCTGCACAGATCGTTGCGGAAGTACGCAGCAAGCAGCATGCACACCGCCAATGCATCATGCGTTGTGTGCTTTAACGTTCCTCAGATCACGCCGCATCACCCACTCACTCACACCCCGCCTCACGCATCGTATCGCTCCATTTTGTAACGCTCTAAAAGAATACATGGGACATGTTTAATCTGCGAACCAAACGTCCATCTAAGCGAGTCCAAGCTCGTACTTAACGACTTTAAGCCTTCTCCTCCTTAACCTCTTCCTTGACTGCAGGCTTGGCCTCGGTCTTGACCTGCTCCTCCTTGACAGCAACCTCCGGCTCGAAAGTGCCATTCTCCACCATCTCGATCTGGTGGTCAATCTCCCGAAGAACATCGTTCAGCTCCTTCTCATCGGGCTCGAACTGAAGACCGTCCACGATCGCCTGACGGGCCTCCTCTAGCCGGCCCATTCCCGCCAGAGCTCGAGCTCGCCTGGAAATGTTAGCAAGCTGCCGTGTCTGAACCCTTACCTGAAGTGGCCCTTGGTCCATGGACGCTTCAGAGCGATAACAGCGTCCGCGTCAGCCAGGGCGTTGGTGCTGGTGGTCAGTCAACGACAACACTGGCAGAACTTACAAGGCACCCGCAGCGGCAAAAGCAGCAGAGCGGTTGCAGAGGGCAATGGCAGTCTCGTCGCGCGAGATGGCCGCAAGCTCCCAAGGTGGCCGTGAGAGCGCCATGTCGGCTGATCGGGAGTAGTTCTGGATAGCACCAGGGATGTTTCCCTGCTTGAAAGCGTTCTGCTGGTTAGCTCCACGTAGGAAAGAGGGTCGAGACGCACGTTTCCGGCCTCCTTGGCCTGCTTGATAGCCTCCGCGCGATGAGGAGGCGGCTGCACCTGGGGAGGGGGAGGGATAGCCTCGGGGGGAGCGGACCGCATGAACTGGTGCATGTAGTTCAGAGGCGTAAAGTTGACAGAGCAGGTCTCACAGACGGGCGCCTTGTGCTCGGCACACACAACCATTTGCTGAGTCTGAGGGGGCTGGCTACCCGGAAGCGGGACGTCCACAAGCGTGAAAGGCACGTTGCGCGTCGGCAGAGAGTCGAGGAGTAGCTGCATTCGCTCGTCGATCTGGATGTTCATCTGAGGAGGGCCGCCGCCGCCGCCGCCAGGGGGTCCGCCCATTCCGGTGGTTTGCGGGCCATGGTCATGGTCGCAGCAACCGCCGCCGTGCGAGTGAGACATATCGAGGGAGGCTGAGTATGGGGTTGGGTTTCTGTGTAGAGGTGCGAGGATCGAGCAGTCGTGTGCGACAATAGGAAGTAGGCAGCCGATTCAGTCGAAGAGTCACAGTAGGAGGGCGAGGGGTGATGTTCTTGGTCAGCGCTGTTAATGTTGGAAGCACAAAAGTCGTGACCGTCCTCGGTGTCTCGTCGGTGGATGGACACAGTCGCTGACGCGACACACCTGATCAAGGTTTAAGTGGGTGGCATGCTTAAGATCACTGCCGCTTGTGGCAACTGATCCACTTTAATTGTGTAAACAAACGGGTGGAGTTCGTTACGTCTTCCCTCTCGTCTCTCCATCTCTTATTCACGCCATCCGCATCTTGCGCTTTCTCGTGCACGGCCAACAGCCATCCATCCGAGCAACATGTCGTAAGTGAACTGTCCCCCATGTTGTATGCTGGATTCGGTCACTGACGCATCGTTAGGCAGTTCTCCGGCTCATTGTTATCGAAGAGGAAAGCCGACCTCGTTGAAATCGCCGAGGCCTTGGGTATCACTGAGACCGAGGCCACCATGCCTGAGCTCCGCGATAAGATCCAGGGCTCGCTCAACGACAATGCTGAGCAGCTGAAGGACGACCCTCGGTTCTCTGGCCTGTACAAGGGCCGCGGTCGGTTCCAGTGCGTACGATCGCTCTGATTCCATTTGGAGTCAGACACACTGCGACTCAAGCATCCATCCCCAACTGACACCAAGAAGAACCTCGGAGTCCGACTCCCCTCAGCCCGAGGTCAAGACCCCCCGTCGCCCTCGCAAGTCGGTCAACAAGGCGGTCGCCAACTTGATGGACGCTGCGAACATTCCCCTCCCTGATAGCCCCATGTAAGTGCGCCATTGGACCCTGGAATGCGCCAATCTGACTAGCTCAGTACCAAGGAGAACATCACTGAGGTCGGAGAGAGGGCCCTCGATGCCGCGAACAAGGCTCTCTCCGTCGTCGACACCGACGCTGAGGAAGTTGCTGGCCGTTTGAAGCGTCTCTCGGGTCAGCTCGTCAAGGCCACCGAGAAGCAGCGCGGTGTTGCCGAGAAGTATATCCGTGAAGCTCGCGACGTAAGTGAAGCACTGAACTCTGGCTGACGTCCATCAGGTCTTCTCGCAGCCTCACGGCCTGCTCCTCGCTGCTCTGGCTCTCGAAGCCGCCTCTGTGTACAACCACGTTGCTCCTTTCGACCACCGTACCGTGAGTTACTGCCAATTGACGTTGCTAACGGGGCAGGTGAGCTTCCCTCCCTCGAGCGGACACTCTGGCAGCTTCTCTTCGCTGCTTAGCCACGCGTTCTTCTGGATGCCCAACCTCCAGTACACGTTCCGCATCCCCCGCTGGGACTCGTACCTCCCTAGCTCCGACCTCTGGCCTGCATTTGCGTGGTGGTGAGTTCTGAGAGCTGACCCGGTTTGCTAAGCCGCCAGGATTTTCGCGACTGTTCTTCCTCCCCTTGCGCTGTCGACTATCGTAAGCTTCGTGCCTCAGAAGGGCCAGCTCCGCCGTGGCACCCACACCACTCGCTACCAAGGTACGGTGAACCTTGCTCGATTCCCATATTAACGCCTAGCTGCCCACCCCCCGGAGCCCACTGTGGACCCCCTCACTTTTGCGCTTTTCCGCGCCGCCCTCCTCCTGGTCCCTCTCACTGGCGCCGCTCCTTCGTCGTTCAACGACGCAATGGAGGTGATTGGCAACGTGTATGCTCGTGCCCTTGGTGCCGGTCTCACGACTGCCCTCATCGTCGCGGAACGCCTGACCAACCACTAAGTCTTCCGCCTAAGCGGGACAGAAAGTGCGAAGCACCTATTTTCGTTTAGGCATCTACCCTGCTCGTGCCCTAATCTCTGTCTGTTCGTGAAAAACACTGTCCGTAGTAATTTTCTTGTTTTTTTTGACTTGCTCGAGAGCTCGGGGAGGCGGTTTTCCGTCAACCCCTGGAGCGTGTTTCTTGGAAGGTTTGAACACTTCTTGATTTCATATGTTGTGAAGTGCCTAGGACGCTGTTTGACGGTGCGACGAGGCACGTAAATGACATGTGCGATACCCGGAGGCAGGCCAGCAATGATGCACATAGGCACTAAGCGACGCAGCGGAAACGAACTTAGCCTACACAGCATGACTCTAGCAGGAGTGCCTCGTGTTGGAACATATGACGTTTGTGACGAGATTTCGGTCTGCTAAAGTTGGACAAGAAATCTGATGAGCCCTTGCAAGAGAAAGAGTGCGCGACGTCAATTTCCCAAGACGGGCAAGGAAGGGAAAAAGCTGTGTGGAAAGAAGGACGGACATCAGGAGATGAGCTAGATAAGGGACGCGACAACCTTCTTGGTCGGCCGACGATTCTGGTTGGTCTCGATAGAGATCAACAAGACGGGCTAGGTAGTTACGACCGCTCCCGTCAAGACGAAGGATGCTCCCACAGAGTTCGTCCAGGTAAGTTTTTCCCGTTTTTCCAGGATGCAGAGAGGTACGATGTGGGGAGTGAACAGTGTAGGAAGTGTCATTCCGGGCTGCATTGTCTGAAGATGAATGGGTTGATCGATGAGAGGGACTCGGTGAGGAGGATAGCGTTCCTTGGCTGTGGATTAGAAAAGGGACGTGGGTGGGATTAGAGTTTGGCTTCTGATTACGAAACGGACAGGGCGCGTGGATGAGGGTTGTGCCAGAAGGGTGGGATTGGTTCCGCGTTAGGGGGCTAGCGACCTGGACAGCTGGATGGTGGGACGGCGAGAGGTCAGGTGCACCTGTGGGCTGGACCTGGCTGGCTGGGTTGTTTGGTGGAACGGTGCAGGCTCGCGTGTCCAGGAGAGTGAGCGCGTCCCTTGCGACATTGCCCTCCCCTGCGCACAGCGCTCAACGCGCCCATGCAAAGCGGTTCCACCACATCTGCTGCAGTGCCCTATGTCTCGAGCTGTCCTAGATCATCACGCCTGCCCTGCCCGGCCTCGTTGTATGCAGTGCATGTTGGTCTCGCGAGCGGGTACGGGCGATCGAGTGTGCCGTCTCTAGTCTGCAGTATCGACTGAGACTGAAGCAAGGCTACCTGGTGATGGTCGCCCTGGACGCCTGCGCCTGTCGCACGTCGCACCCTGCACACCCAGCCCTGCTCGCCTGCTCGCCCTGGGCTGCCAGCCCTACCGCTCATACGCAGACGGCCCTGTCCCTCGTCTCTCTGCATGCTCTGCTTGCTCTGCTGCATGGCTTGGCTTACCAGCGTACCAGCGTACCCACCTAGCGCCTCCCGTCGCCGTACAGAGCCGTAGACGTCCACCCCTGCACCCTCACCCACCGCACCATCGATCCGTGTCCGTGACCTCCTCCTACCACTCTGTTCTCCGATCCCATTAACCATCCTCCAACATTCGCATAACCACGTCTCCTGATCGACCATCACTCTCCTCTACATCCATCTCATTCGCATACGCATTCGCATTCATACCCCATTCGCGCGCAACCCCCGCTATCGCCAACGCGCCTGATCCGACTTCCAGTATCCATTCCACCTTGACCCACCACCCTACACGCGCCTGTCCACCTCCCTTTCGCCCTCACCCACCTCGCGCGCGCGCATCACTCCGACACAGCAGCTCGACTCCCAGCCATCGACGACACGCTCTCCTCCTTCTCTCTCCGTCCTCCTTCGATGTCCTGCCATCTCCGCCTCTAGTCCTGCGCCGAGCGGCAATGGCATGATCGGCATGAACGGCATCTGGAACATCGACAGCGCCCTCGCGCTCAACCAGTTCCCAAGCGTCGAGGACCGCGTCGCCCTGTCCACGAATCAGTGGGCAGACGACCTCAGAGGTATCTACAACAATGCCCGCGATAGGTTCTCAGACGTCGCTTGGGAAACGGACACGGGCGAAAGGATATTTGCACATAAAGGTGCGTGTTGCCCGGCAATGACTGACGGGTCTGGGTTTGCGATCGCGGCCCGCGTTCAGACGACCATCCGCGTGCGCGCGCGCGAAAGAACAAGTGCGGCAACCCCCACTCTGCTCGTCGCCCATGCCTGCCCAACGTAGGCATGAATGCGAGCAGGTGTGGACTGTGCGCGCAATCTTCTCTTGCCCTCCTTGGACGGAATGCTGACCCCCCATCACAGCTGTCGTCTACGTTCGAGCACCAAGTAAGCGCACCCCCGCTTTACGCGAGCTGACCATGTGCACAGAAGCATTCAAGGACCGATACTTCCTATTTTTACAGAACAGTCAAAACCGAGCAGGCAGGTCACAGACGTCACTTGCCATCGCGCGGTCACCCTCACCCTCACCATTCTCCACCACCCCTCCATTTCCGAACGGGACATCAGTACGCAACACACCTTCCCCCTCCTACCTCGCAGCAGCACGCAGCAGCAGTCTCTCCGTCGACACGATCGAAAGCGATGGGACACTACGCGCCCCAACCCTTAACACTGGTGGCGATGGGATTCTCAAGCTCGGTCAGGACGATCCCCCCGAGATGTTTAGAGCACAGCTTGAATGGCTCTACACAGGCGAGGGGTTCGGAGACGTCGTCGAGTGGATCAGCGGAGACGGCGCTGCCGGTCCAGGCGGCGCCGGCAATCTTCGCGACTCATTAGGGCGAAGAGGCAACCTCGCAGAGCGAAGAGACAAGCTGGGAAACGACCTCACCTACATGTGGACCAGCAAGCTCTACTGCGACGTGCGGATACACCTCGACGCTCCCGAGAGCGACGGATACGGGTCAGACACGTCGGGAGACTCTGACGACTCTCTCGCCGAGACCGTGATCTTCACTGCCCACAGATTCATGCTCGTATCCCGATCACCATATTTTGCGTCGGTCCTCCTCAATCCTTCCTCCTTCCGACCAGCAACCGCCGACGTTCACCTTCCTACCCCTCCTTTCACCCCAGCAGCCCTCCACTTCTGTCTTGGCTGGATCTACGCAGGCCACCTCGACTTCTCCAACCGCTCCTTCGACCTCTCTACCGCCCTTCAGATTCACCGCGCCGCGGCTTACCTGCAACTGGACTCGCTCGTCTCAGAAGTGGAATCGCGGCTCGTGTACGACTTCTGTGATAACATGGACTGGGACCGGTGTCATTGCCGACGATGTCTCAGCCGTGTTCCTCGCGTGTGGCGTTTTACTTGCGCACCGGACGTCGGCGCGCTCGACTTGCACAAGCGCGCACGCCGCTTCATGATCGCAGGATGGACTGAAGCTTGGGGACGAGAAGTCGGATCAGCAGACAAGAAGGACCGAGACGACCTGGTGAGAGATCTCGCCAGAACCTTGACGCCGGGGAGCGTCATCTCCGTGTTTCGAGGCGTGGCGCGACTACGCCGTCGCATGAGCCAGGCCATTCGATCCAAGGGTCCCGACGCCGCGGGCTGGACGGACGCCGTCGGAGAGATGGTCGAGCAGACTGAGAAGCGCGCGCGCGATCTCATCGCTACCCACTTTGTCGCCGTGTGCGAGAGCAAGGAGCTCTGGGATGCGCTGAACGGCGTCGGCATGAACGAGGACGCTCTCGACGCCGTGCTCGCCGAAATGGTCGAGATTGCGGGTCGCCCAACGACATCAGTGGAAGCGCCACGCATGTACCAGACCATCGTCTCGTCGCTCCTCCTCAAGGTCAACCCCGATACCTTGCAGCCCATGCTCAGGACAGGGTCACAAGCACGACATAAGGTTGAGCAGACGAAAGAAGGCGTTTTGTCTCACATCCGACGGCGCTGGATGGGCATTAAGGACGCTGCGGGATTCGTCGGTTTGGAGCCCTGGTCGCTCAAGGAAATCAGCGACGAGTTGGATTTACCGATGGACGATCTCCTAGGGGTAGCATTTCCACGCTCCAGCGCCGGCTTTCCGCGCACAGCGTCCACTGCTGCTGGACTCGCAGAATCGAACAGCTCGACAGGAGGGTCCCGTGCAGCGTCACGTGCAGACCGTCAATCTCGATCGTCCGTCGACCATGCTTCTGAGATCTCGTCGGGCAGTCAGACGAGCCAGGGGCCAGGACATGCGAACCGAGCGTCCGTGTCGACCCTCCGAGGCGTCGAGACGCCAGAGCCATCAGAGCGCAATGGTCTCCGCCGACTTCGACTTTCCAGTTCAGCATCCAGTGCGTCTGTCACATCGTCGCGAGCAGCTTCAAGGGCAGCTGCAGCGTCGCAGTCTAGTCGACAGACACCAACTTCGTCCGGCCCGACTCCTCGCAGCCCTACAGCCGCATCGAAAACCCTCGTTGTTTCCGTCGGATCGCGCAACCGTGTATCTCCTTCTCTGGGCAGCCCCAACAGCCCCACACCGACCGTTATGAGCGGACCGCCGCGACCACTCCTCACCGGCAAGCGGCCAGTTTCCAAGCTGAAGAGCGACAATGAGAAGACTGGCGACTCCCCATCCCCGCGAGCCGGCCCTTCCACGTTACGACACCAGTCGTCGATGAGCTCCGTGCGATCTACGCCTTCCGCTAAGACTCCGACAGCCGCCAGAACCCCTACCACTAGGGCTGCCGTTTCAAGTAGGACCGCGACGTCCAGCAACGCGTCGGCCAAATCGACAGCACGACCCACTCCTGCGAACAAGTCGCCCACAAAAGCAGTCAGCAAATCACCGACGAAAGCTGCGTCTTCGAGTCGGCCGTCGCTGTCGTCAACGCGGCCAAGTGCTCGTCTTAGAACAGTTTCGACACCAAATGCCGCGGCCGCCGGGGCAAAGACAGCAACGCCGAACACACGCCCGATCAGCCACTCTCGCACATCGTCTGTTGCAAGCGCGTCCACGGCATCGTCAGCTGCGAGGGCGGCCGCTACGGTTCCCGCCTCGCATTCACGAACGTCCTCGGTCAGCTCCTCAACGGCCGTGAGACCCATGACAGCGGCGCGCCCCTCGCGTGCGTCTTCGACTGCGAGCGTGTCGGCTCGACCGGCGCCAGGACGAGCCACCACTGGGTCTTCCTCCAGCTCCGCGACGCATTCCCGCAACGCCTCGGTGACGAGCGCCGCCAGCAGCGCGAGGACACCGCTCACAGGCGGACCGCCAGCACGACTAACGAGGGATAGTGCCCACTCGCGAAACGGTTCGCTAGCAAGTCTCCGCAGCTTCAAGAGCGCCAAGTCGACCGAATCGGCAACAGCTACGCCCAAGCCCGCGCCGAGATCTGGTATGACGAAGAGTGCCTCCATGATGAGTGTGCGAAGTACGCGGTCTACCACGAAGCCGGCGGAAACGCCCAAGCCAGCGACATCTCGAGCGAGCACCGGATCTACAGCGCCCTCTTCCGAACTGAAAACGTTCCGCACTAGATCAGTGTCCATGGCGAATCTCAAGACGACGACCCCCACGCCGCGGTCGAGTTTGCCACCTTCCACCACCTCGAAGACTCCGGCGGCGACCCCGAAGCCTGGAACCAGCACTCTTCGACCGCGCCCGTCAACTGCGAGTAGTACTCGGGTGCGCACGAATTCGACAGCCTCCTCGACGGCGACCGGCACAGGAACGAGGGTTCGCCCGCGCACCTCATCGCTGGCGAGTACGCGGTCCCACGCTACGATTGCCGAGGACCCCGACCAACCGCCCTTACCAGGTGATGCCAAGGACAACGTCCGTGCGACGCGAACTCGAACCATGTCGATGGCAAGCGCGGCCTCTCGAGCCTCGACGTCAACGGCGGCGTCTGGAGTGGAGGAAACCACGCCTGCGACGAAGACTGTCCGACCCCGCGCCTCCTTAACGGCCGCAACGCCAACACCTGCTGCCCGAGGAAAGGCTGCTCAACCCTCAACGACGTTGGCGCCCCTCACGCCTACGGATGCTGGTTCCGGCAAGATGGCGCGCGACCAGGCGACCCCGAAGGCCGCCGCGAAGCCCTCTGCTCCCAGTAAGGCTGGGACACTGCGGCCGTCGACGTCTTCGAGGAACATCAGTCGTAGTGTGTCTGAGTCCACTCTCAAACCGTCCAACTCTGCCAGGTCGTTGTCGAGCAAGACGAGCCGCGATTCTGGTGCGGTGACCCCGAAGGCTTCAAACGCGAAGGCGTCATTAGAGCCGGCGACACCGACAGCGCCCAAACAGCGCTCGGTCTCGGCCAAGGTTGCCACTCCTAACGCGAGTGGCACCCCGCGACGCAGCACTTCTGGTCTCTTCCCCGCGACGGCCGGTACGCCTCGCCAGCGTGCTGTCTCTGCAGGCGCGTCTCTGTGGAAGCGCGCCACGCCCGTGCCGCCCAAGGTTGCTGGTGTTGTCGGTCAGGACAACACGTCTCCCAGGACTAGCATGAGCCCGAGGGCCAGTAACTCGCCGTCAGCGAGCACGGTCAGTGGCCTTAAGAGCGCCAGCCGGGGCAGATTACGCTCGTCTTCTGGCTCGACGGAGGGACCGTCTGAGGCTATCACCCCCAGGATGTCCGCGTCCGTGGAGCCCATCATCGCCCAGGAGCAGGAGGATGCCGCCTGCGCTCCTCCCTTGCAAAACGAGCCGTCACCCGATTCCAAGTCTGAACGGCCGCCCAGCGTGCTCCTGCACCGCCCCGAATCACTAGTCGTCCCGGAGGAGCCGCAAGAGGAGGAGGAGCGGGAAGATAAGCCCGAGGAGCGCAATGAGGTTACGACACCGGAGACCGAGCCGCCGTCTGGTGTAACGGTTACTCTGAATGACGAGCCCGATGAGTTGGACCCTCGAGTCACTCCGCGCGCTACCCGCGCTGAGCGGGCGCGAGCCACGTCGGAGAGCACGACGCCGACGTCGGCCCAGTACCCGCCAGCAGTCTTTGGCGTCCCGCACCGCTCGGCGTCCAGCCCTGTCTCGGCCATCAGCGATCAGCCCATTCGGCCCATCATCCCTCCGCGCACCGCCTCGATCACGGTCTCAGTCACGGATGACGAGTCTGACACGCGCTCGCGATCGGGTTCCGGCTCTGCGCCCCTTCCAATCCCCGGCGCTAGCATGCTGTCCGATGAGCCTGTACCGACGAATCTCCCTCCTCCGAGCGCCTACACGACCCCGAAGGTGCCTCCGACCCCGCCGATCGCCTCGTTCTCGCTCCCGAACACTCCGCCGGTGCGACCGACTTCGCTGGCCGCGAGCCCCATGTCGGCTGCAAGCTTACACAGTGTTCTGTCGACGGCGCATGGTAGCCCAGCGGGTAGTGTCCGCTCGCACACCTCGCCGTATCGCCCGCATCCTGCGCACGCGTTTGACCCGCCCCCGCGTGAGCGCCCTGCTCCTGTGCCCGTCGCCGTGACCCCGCCCAAGATCGAGGTCACGGACGAGAACGTGCCGTTTAGCGGACGGGGTGTGAGCCTGCACGTCGGCATTCCGTGCATCGTGGCCCTGACTAGCCGACGCGCCCGTTTCCGCGCCAACGCAAAGTATCTCGGCACGCTGCAGGACACGAAGGGCCAGTGGGTCGGCATCGAGGTCGAGGACCTGGACCGATTCGGGATCGAGACTCTCCCGACCGGTGCGCGCAACGGCGTGCGCTACTTCCACTTCACGGTGCCGAGCACCCCGGCGCCGGGTCCAGAGGCGCGACAGGCGCGCGAGATGCGCCTCAGACGTATCGGTAGCATCGCAGACAGTCTGCCTAGAAGGCGGCTCGGTGCCTTGGGTCTCAGCAACCCTAGCACGAGAAGTGCGAGCCCCTTTGGTGGCAGCAGTTACGCCGCCGAGTGGGTCGCGCCCGAGAAGCCGCGCGCGCTCTTCGTCCGGCCAGAAGAGGTGCTGTTCGTCATGGGCGCGGATCCATAGTAGGCCACTGCCCCGTGAGCAGCGGCAGCCCATCGGCGGAGGTGGGCGTGAGCCGACGCATGCTCGCTACGAGCTAAATGTTCACGACACCCCAGCCCACCATCTCGTCGACTCCCTCGGCAGTAGACACCGTCCGCGGCGGCCCGATCAGCCGTCCCCTTACTTTCCTCAATCATCTCTCACCCAACTCTCCTTCGCTTCGCCCACCCGCGACGTCGACGTACGGCTCGCGCGGACCAAGAAGCGAAACCGACAGCATTCTACATCTGCCACCTGGCTCTGCCCACTCACGGCCCAGCTACACCAGAGCAGCCCAGCACGGCCACGCACAACGGTATCAGCACATTCATTCGCCCACCCACGAACAGACTCTCATTAGAACACGTAAAAGGTTAACTTTGTATATCTTGCATACTATACCGTTGTTTGATTTCTTAATGCATTGTGACTTTTAGTACGCACCGGCGTGGCCTCATCTCGGGTCCGACACCTCGAACGCGACTCGAAGCAGAGCTGAGCATGTGCTGACCGATGCGGTGTGTACGCGATGTTGCACGAGTGCGACCCACTTGCACATGAATCGTTCCTCGACGCAGGGAGTGAGTGACGTAGGGTTCAGGCCAGGAAGCAGGGCCGGATTCGGATATACAGTGAGTGGTGCCATGTGGACCGCTCGATTTAGCTTTCGGATGTTGCCGATCGGTGAGGTCGCCGTGCCGTGCGTCAGTGAGCAGTGGAAGCCCCAGACGCGATCCCAACATGGGGCCGCCGGGGTGCCGGGGATGCTCGTCGGACCAAGACCCAGCGGCACCCAGAGGAGCCAGACGATTACGACCTACCTTCCCTCTTCCTTTCATCCTTCTCCTTCTCTCCATCGCCGCATCCACACTTGCCCACGATGCGTCTCACCGCTGCAGCTCTCCCTGCGCTCCTGCCTCTGGCGTCGGCCTTCATCCTCCCTGGCCCCGAGGACGCATTCAACCTCGCCTCCGACTTCCTCGGCCACAACGAGGTCCCCGACACGGTCCTCTCGCCCGCTAGCGATGTCACTCTCTCGTCGATCGGCTCCGAGGAGTTCTTCACCATCACCCACGCCGACCATCCCGTGAGTAAAGGGCAAGCTGGCAAGCTCCCAAAGGAGCGATAAGCTGATAAGCCAGAACCACAAGGTGCGCATCAAGCAGACGGACGGATGGTGCGACCCCGACGTGCGCTCGTGGACGGGCTACCTGGACGTGACGGACGACAAGTCGCTGTTCTTCTACTTCTTCGAGTCGCGCAACAAGCCCAAGGAGGACCCCGTCCTGATGTGGATCAACGGTGGCCCCGGATGCTCTTCCTCGATGGGCCTCTTCATGGAGCTCGGCCCCTGCGCGGTCGCGGACGGCGAGCCCAAGTCTGTCAACGACACAAAGGTCAACCCCTGGTCGTGGAACAAGGAGGCCAACGTCTTCTTCCTCGACGAGCCTGTCGGTGTTGGATTCTCGACCTTCCGCCATGGTCAGATGGTCGACACTGCCGAGAAGGCTGGCCAGGACGTTGCCGCTTTCGTTGAGATTGTAAGCCCAGACAAGTTGGGTAGAGCTAACGGCAGTTCTTCGACACGTTCAAGGAGTTCCAGGGCCGCGACTTCCACATGGCCGGCGAGTCTTATGGCGGTCGTTACCTCCCCGTCTTTGCGTCTGCCGTCCACGACAACAACGCCAAGCTCGTCGCTAAGAAGAAGACCCCCGTCAACCTCAAGTCTGTCATGATTGGCAATGGTATCACCTCGTTCTGTAAGTGACATCTAGCTGAGGAGAGCTGACCGCAAGATGCTACGACCGAGTCTTACTTTGACTACGTAAGTATCAAGCTGACACAGTTCGCACAGCTAACATCAGCAATGCACGATCAACGCCGACCTGAACCACACCGTCCAGGACATTGGCACCTGCGTCGAGCTCGCTGAGAGCATCCCCCGCTGCCACAAGATGGCCAAGAAGTCCTGCATCGACTCGCACGACTACACCGACTGCTCGATCGCCATGAGCTACTGCATGATTGCCCTCGAGGGCAGCTTCCTCCGCGCCGGTGTCAACCCCTACGATGTCTCCAAGAAGTGCACCCAGCAGGAGCTCCAGGACTTCCTCTGCTACCCCGAGACGTAAGCTGGGATGCCGTCGAGTGAGCTGACCATCTCAGCAAGCGTATTAACAAGTACCTCGACCTCCCCGAGGTCCGCAAGAAGCTCGGTGTTGACAAGAGCGTCGGCGACTTTGCCTCGTGCAACGGCCAGGTCGGTGCTGCCTTCAACCACGCCCTCGACAACACGGGCCAGACCTGGCTTTACGTCACCCAGCTTCTCGAGCGCGGCGTTCGTGTCCTCAACTACGCCGGAACCCTCGACTTTAGTAAGTTGTGCTGCATCGCAAGTAACTAACCCCAGTCTGCAACCACATTGGCAATGAGATGTGGATGGAGGCGCTCCAGTGGACCGGAAAGGAGGGCTTCAACGAGGCCAAGCTCAAGGACTGGAAGGTCAACGACAAGGTCGCGGGCAAGTTCAAGACGTACAAGAACCTCTCGCTCCTCAAGGTCTACGGCGCCGGCCACATGGTGCCCACAGACCAGCCCGAGAACGCGTACGTCATGCTCAAGAGCTGGCTCGACGCGGGCAAGATTGAGTCGGAGTAAGCTACTGTGTACTTATCTTGAAGCCTAGACACATCTTGAAGTCAAAGAATGAAGAATCCTGCGTAGTGTTAGAACTGGGATTTTCGAGTAGCACATCCATCCTCGTCTCTATGCACTGTTGCAGTCACCTCTACGTCCTTCCTCGCGACTAACCTCTCGGCCTCCAGCAAATGTTGCCACCTATGTTGTTTATCCGAAAAGGTTCCGCACGGCGATCGATTTCGTCACTGGCAATCGTTCTGCGAACTTCGGTCATGGCAGCGAGGTTTAAGTCGCAACAACTCCTCAAATCACCCGGCCGAACAATGTCAGAAGGCTTCCCGTCATTGACGCACGAGCGGCGCGCCTTTCCGCTCCCGACCATCTCCGAGGACACGCTGCAATATGCGCTGCACCTGCCCCCCGTCCCCTCTTCCGAGTCGGCAGCCGACAGCTCCGCCGACGCAACCGCGCTCGCGACGCTGATCACGTCCGAAGTGGAGTCTGCTCTCCCCACCCCCTGGCTGTGGAACAAGGATCCTTGGGAGCTCAAAGTCGTCCCTTCTGGGAGTACCACGGCACAAGCCCCCTCCAAGCTCGAGGGGCGGATGCGCGTCGGCGACGCAGTGGACGACGAGTGGCTCGTCGTCTGGCTCCTGCGTCAAATCTCAGAACGTCACCCAACCCTAGCAATCAGCATTCGGGACAATGACGGCGAGTTCCTCCTGATTGAGGCGGCGCACGCGCTGCCCGCCTGGGTCGCGCCCGAGAACGCAGACAACAGACTCTGGCTCATGGGCGGGTCGTGGTATCTCCTCCCACTCAGTGTGAAGAGCAAGAATCCCCCGAAACAGCTCCAGGACGCCGACTATGATGAGACCGGCCGCGCGGTCGATCCAGAAGCATATCTCTCCGAGGACGATGCCTTGGCTGCCCTCCGCGCAAACCCGGAGCAGTACAAGGTCCCCGAGGGCGTCTCCGCTGCCATCGACGGGCGGATATCGAGGTGAGCTTGGCCGTGGTCTTCCGAGCTGACAAACAAGATACCCCGCCGCGCTCAAGACGCACCAGCACCGCGCGCGCGCCTATGTGCCCGTCGAGATCGCGCGGACGCTGTACGCCGACCCCTCCCTGATCCAGAAGGCAGTCGAGGCATTCTACGTCCGAGACCCCGCCCAGCTACGGAGCGCGAGCCGCATGTCCCGCTTCCCGCCCGGGAACGCCGTGCTCACGAGCATACCGATGACGCGGCCCGCCTACGCCCAGCTGGCGGGGCAGGTGTGGCACCCGCCCCGCGCGTTCGGGGCCGAGTGGCACGTCCCCGAGTCCGAGGGGCGGGACGAAGCGCGCTGGCGCGATATTGGCGCCAAGGTCGCCACGGGCTTCGAGATCATGTACAAGGAGGGCGGGCGGGGGCGGACTGGCGACACATCTGCCGCGGACCCTGCGGCTCTGGCGAATGATCCAGAGTACAGGCGCTACCTGTCTGATCTCCAAAAGGCGGGCTTCTTCGGCGATGAGCGCGAAGGTAGCGCACACTGGCAGGAGCGCGAAAGGCAGGCGGCACAGGGCTGGGTCGACGCCCGCAGCGCCGACACGCAGCAGGCGCGTCCCTCGTTTGCGGCGCTCGTCGACGCCGCCCTCGCCAAGACGGAACACACCGATCCGGCTGCATACGAGGTCAACAAGGTCGATGCGGACAAGGAGGACGACGACGCCTGGCTCGCCGTCGACCCGCACGAACTCGACGCGCTCATGGCCAAGGCGGCCGGCGGGAGCTCGAGCAACCAGGCCAAAGTAGGCGAGGAGGACGGCAAGGCGCTCGCGGACCTTGCGAGCAAGATGGAGGCGTTTGTCGGCGGGCAGGGCGATCTGGGCGGAGCCAGATTTGCAGAGTAGGTGTATTTTCCGTCTAGCTAGGTTGATCCTGTGTTCCAGCTGACAACAGCGAACTCGACGACGAGGACATGGACTCGTCCGACTCGGACGACGAGAAGCCGAAGCAACCTGAGTCTGAGCCCGAGCTCACAGACCGGCAGAGACAGGAACGGCTCGCTGCGCTCGTGCAGCCGCTGGACGCGAGCGAGTGGGGCCAGCGCACGCAGTCCCAGCCCGACATCGATATCGACATGGACGGTCCCGGACTCGTGGCGGGCTCAAAGGCGGGTGACGCCATGCTGCCGTCCTCCATGCGGCCGCCGCGTTTCGCGAAGCAAGAGTACGACGGCGTCATCTCCGAATCGTCTGACGAGGACGACGACGATGACAACAACCTGGGCCCCGAGAACAGTATCGGCCGCAAAGTACTCGGCATGAAGTGGGGCGATGGCGCGCCGCGCTCGCGTCCTGACGAGGGACCCAAAGAAGCCACGATAGAGGAGATCCCCTCGGACGAAGACGAGGAGGATCGGCAGAGGAAGAAGGCCCTCGAGCTCGGCGACATTGACGAGGAGATGAACCGGCGTGTCTGGGGCGGCGGTGGGGGCGGCGACACGCCCGAAAAGCCCAAGAAGGAGGACGAGGGCGACGTCAACATGGGCGACGAGGAGAATGACTTTCTCGAGTTCTCGCGCAAGGCACTCGGGCTCAGTGATGAGCAGTGGGCCGACATTCTCAAGGAGCGCAGGGACCGCGGCGCGTACGTGCCCTCGCCTGGGGCTAAGAAGGCCGCTGGACCCGTGCCGCCCCCACAGGCACCTGCCGCGCCGCAGGGAGAGCCGAACCAGGCGCTCAACTCGTTCGAGACCATGATGAAGGCCATGGAGGACGAACTCGCTCGGCATAACCAGGGCAAGGACGAGACGATGGCTGAAGAGCCTGTCGCGCCCCGTTTCGTCAAGCCCGTCAAGAAAGATGCGCCGAAGAACTCGCCCAAGCAGAAGGGCGGCCTCAAGCCTGGCAAGGGCAAGTCGACCCGGTTCCAGCGCCTGCAGGATCTCCCGTCCGAAGCTGATCTCGACGACATGGACGACGAGCAGCTCGCCGCCATGGACGCTGAGCTGAGGCAAGCGCTCGAGGGCGTCAGCGACGACGATGACGACATGCCCGAGGCTTCGCAGCTCGACGAGAGCGGCAAGCAGCAGTACGACATGATGAAGAACTTCCTCGAGAGTTACCGCAGCCAAGGCGGTCAGAGCGGTGTCGTAGGCAACCTCTTCGGGCGACTCGGCGAGGAGGCTCCAGGCAAGGACAGCAAGTGAAGGACATGTAAGATGCATCAGAAGTGCTACAGTTGCTACGATTACAGAGTATTGCCTCACAGCAGATGTGCCGAGAGCGATGGTGGACTATGGTCAGCCTCGTTTGCGAATCGAAAGTTAGTTTGTTGGGTTTGTTGGGTTTGGTTGGTGTTGGTGTTGGTGTCAAGTCTGGTGCTGACGATCAATTCAATCGCACGGCATGGCATAAAAGCCAAGGCACATGGCGGCGACTTGAGGCCGCATGTGCGGATGATGAGAGCGCGAGGTCGCGCATATTGTCGCCGGAGCGAGGCCGATCGCTGAGGCTGAGCAAGTCGAACTTACCGCGTGATTACAAGGCGAGCGCAGTGTAAATCGGGTTGTTGGCAGCCAATATCGTCAGCGCTCGTCCTTTCTGTGTTGGGCGCTCATGCAATCGCAGCTCCGCCGCCGAGAGCTTGAAAGAGACGGGGCTGGTGTGAGAGACGGCTCATCTCACCTTGTGTTGAAAGGGATGTTGAGGAGTGGTCTAAAAGTGTCAGCGACGGCCTGAAACCACGTTGTCGGGGGCTCGTGTCCTGCATCCCGAATGCAATCGGTCCCGACAGGAGCTTTGTTCCGACAGGCAGAGCATGGAAGCATAATGCTCAATTGTGGGTGTTCTCGCAGGCGTGGGTGCTGTCTGCCTAAGATGGGGGGTCTTTGGGCAGACAACTGCCTGGCCGAGCAGGAAGGAAGCAACATTGAATTCGCAAAGTCGAGATCCCACAACCTTCGTCGCCGGTGAGGGGAAAGCTCACTTGAAGAGGCAACGAGCGATGAACTAAAGTCAGCGGCTGGCCTCGAACAAAAGTCGATTGGTGTACTCGTCGCCCTGCTCTCCGACACAGTCGTTCCCAGCATGAGCCACCACAGGCCCGACACCTCGCAAGGCATCGCGATGTGCAATGAGGGAGAGCAGAAGGGATCACTCCCGGGGCCGGAGCATGTTGGCTCGAACGGGGCAGGCGCCTCCATCGAACCGCTGAGTGAGTTGAACTCACCTTGACTGGGGTACTTGGTGGACCTGGCGGCTTGCTGCGAGAGGCGGTGGCGAGGAAGGTGGCGCGTGTCGAAGGTGAGCTGAGTGGGCTGAGGCGAAGAGAGGTGGCGAGAGAGAGAGGCGAGGAAAGAGGAGGAGCTAGGAGATGGAGGTCGAGAGAGCTTGAGGAGCGTCTTGAAGAGGATGGAGAAAGAAGAAGATGGATCGTCCCAAGCGCCCTCTTATATATCTGACAAACGCGAGGGGGGTCCTTTGAGTCGCTGTCAACGCTCCCCTCTCTCGCGCTGGCCGCGCTGGCTTCGCTCCGTGCGCTGCGTCCGTACCGGCGATAGGTCTGCCGGTAGAGCACCAGAGCAGCGGCGCAACGCCGCATGCAGCGCAGCAGAGGAGTGCGGCGACCTGTGCATTCACACAAAGGCAGGCGATCTGACGCGAGGGCGCAGATCGAGGGCGATAGCGTGATCGCGAGGGGGCGAGGGGGGCGCCGTCCCGCTTGACGTCAAGGCGACGCGGAGGGGCAGCGCCGCAGCGCGAGCAGGGCATGCGGGGATGACGCGCGGGGCGCAGTGGACGCGAGCTAGCCAGCTGTGTGAGCGTGCGCGTCGCTCTGTCCGTCGCCTAGACGCTCTCGATGTCTAGGGCGCAGGCTAGATGTGAATATTAGTGTGTGAGCTCCTTGCGCCCCGCTGCGAGCGCGGCGGCACGAGGAGGCCGCTCGCGTCGGCCTCTGCTCGGCTGCGTGCTTATTGTCATCGTGGTTGCCCAATCCAATCCGTCACTGGAACACCGGGCGACCGCGGCGACGGACCTTGCGGTGTCTGCTGTTGTTAGCGTGCCCGCAGTTGGGCTTATCAGCAACGAATCACGCGGTGTCAGCCCAGTCCGGTCAGCACCAGTGCGGTTTCCAATCTATGCATTCTGTGCGAATAGTCATACAATCCATTATCCCGGTCCAGGTTCTAATATGCTAAGCGGCGGTGTGGTGTCGAGTTTAGAGCCACTCGACGGTTCCGGGGGGCTTGGAGGTGATGTCGTAGGTGACACGGTTGATGCCGCGGACCTCGTTGGTGATGCGGGACGAGATCTTCTTGAGGACGCCGGCGGGGAACTCGAACCAGTCGGCGGTCATGAAGTCCTCTGTTGAGACGGCGCGGAGGGCGATGACCTGGTCGTACGTGCGCGCGTCGCCCTGAACACCGACGGCGCGGACGGGGAGGAGCGCGGCGAACGCCTGCGAGATCTGGTCGTACAGACCGGCGGCGCGGATCTCCTCAATGTAAATGTCGTCGGCGTGCTGCAGGATCTGAACCTGCTCGCGGGTGACCTCGCCGAGGATACGGATGGCGAGACCGGGGCCGGGGAAGGGGTGGCGGCCGACGAGGTGGGCGGGGATGTTGAGGAGACGGCCGAGGGCACGGACCTCGTCCTTGAAGAGCTCACGGAGAGGCTCGATGAGCTTGAGCTTCATGTCCTCGAGGAGACCACCGACGTTGTGGTGGGTCTTGATGGTGGCAGAGGGGCCCTTGAAGGAGATCGACTCGATAACGTCGGGGTAGAGGGTGCCCTGGAGGAGCCACTCAATGGGGCCCTTGGACTTGTCCTCGGCGCAAGCTTTCTCAATCTTGGCAGCCTCCTCCTCGAAGACCTCGATGAAGGTGTTACCGATGATCTTGCGCTTCTTCTCGGGGTCCTCAACACCCTTGAGGCGGCCGAGGAAGAGGTCGGAAGCGTCAACGACGGTCAGGTTGACGCCAAGGTCGTCGGTGAGCATCTTCTTGACCTTCTTGGCCTCGTCCTTGCGGAGGACACCGTTGTCGACCATGATGGCGTGGAAGCGGTCGCCAATAGCCTCGTGCATAATCTTGGCGGCAACGGTCGAGTCGACACCGCCAGAGACGGCACCGATAACCTGGCCCTTGTCACCACAGATCTCGCGGATACGAGCGATCTCCTTGGGGATGAAGGACTCCATGCTCCATCCAGGCTTGACGCCACAGATGTTGTTGACGAACGAGCCGATGACGAGCTTGCCCTGCTTCGAGTGGGTGACCTCGGGGTGGAACTGGACACCGTAGAAAGGCTTGGACTCGTGGGCAATGGCGGTCCAGGGCGAGGTGGGGGTGTGGGCGACGGTGAGGAAGTGGGGAGGAAGCGAGGCGACCTGGTCACCGTGCGACATCCAGACGGTCATACCCTCCTCGGGGATGTCGATGCCAGCGAAAAGAGCGTCGGCACCGGCGTTGCCAGTCTTCTCGACCGTGATACGGGCGAAACCGTACTCGCGGTGGGTGTGGGCCTCGACCTTACCGCCGTGGGTGAGGGCCATCTCCTGGAGACCGTAGCAGATGCCCATAACGGGAACACCGGCCTCGAAGACGGCGGGGTCAACGTGGGGAGCGTCCTCGGCGTAAACCGAGTAAGGAGAGCCGGAGAGGATGATACCTGCTTGTTAGCTGCGAAACTCCAAAACGCGCAACGTCTTAACGCCCGCAGTTACTCACCCTTGGGCTTCCAGCTGAGGTCGGCCATCTTCTGAGTGCAGGGGAGCATCTCACAGTAGACACCAAGCTCACGGCATCGTCGGGTGATCAGATGCGAGTACTGGACCGTTAGTATCACTGTTCCTTGTTGGCACCGAGAGCATCTCCGTTCCTAACATCGCGGACGCCGACCCGCGCTCCATCCAGCCCATCCGCACCCCGCAACCGGACACTCACCTGCGATCCAAAGTCGAGGATAAGGATCGAGTCGTAGAGGTCGTGAATCTCAGCAGACGCCATTTTTGGTTATGGGTTGGGGGTGGGGGGTACCAAGAAGGGAAGCACGGAGCAGCCTCGTACATATAATTGTTATCTCTCTACTCGAGCCCGCGAAATCTTAGAAATATTCAACGTTATTACGTGTAGTCTCAGGCACGACTGATTTCACCGATGTGTGGATTTGATAAGCCACCACGCGCGGTGGCACGTTCATCCGAAAATATTCCTGCCTCCATGCCCCGTCCGTGATAGGCAGCAAAGCGCAGAACGATAGGACTTAGCGATAGTGTGCAACTGGATGTGACTCCATGATATGACATCAGGTTATCTATGACTCGGATACACCAGAAAGGACAAAAAAACTTCGGATCGTGTGCGTGCCGACACACCTATAAGGTTAAGTGTGTCCGGAGCAGGCATTGCGTGCTGTGATGGGTGAGGGGCAGGGACGAGATGGGGTAGTGGGTAGCGGCGGAGGTGATGGGTGGCGATGAAGTATAACTGCTTAATGATAAAACAATGTGAAGAAATCCAAATGACAGGGTCCAAAGGCGATGGATGTGCGGTGTGGGGTGCTAGTGTCACTGCCGCTTTAGTTGCGGATGGTGGAAGGGACAGCCACGGGCTGGGCCCACAATGGTTGGGTCATAACGGGGCTGACAGGGGAGGAGAACATCTGGTGGGAAGGGGAGGTGGCACCGTCGTGGCTGCGGCTGTAGGCGTGACCCTGGGAGAAGAGACCGCCTTCAAAGAGGCTCGGTCGAGCCCCTCGCACGGTACTCCGAGGGTGGGGGTGCGTGAACGTGTATTGGTGTTGCACTGCAGGCGGAGGCGGTGACGAGGCGGCCTCCGCGTCCAGGGAGCGCTGAAGGCGATCACACGTGTTGTTGAACGTGGACTGGGCACCCTTCTCAAGGGTGAGTAGCGCGTCCGTGACGTAGCCCTGCGAAGTCAAGGCCCGCGTGAACTCGACGCGGAACTTGACTCCCTTGATGGAAGTGCCGTGGATGTCGCGGGTGGACGCGGTACGGCACTTCAGACCACGCTGGCCGTCAATGTCGGTAACATTGGCGCGCACTCCGTGGTTCTCGAGGACCTTGCGAACCTTGTCACGAGCGTCGTGGACGCTGTGGCTCTTGACCTGGATCGAGCGCGACGCGGGCTTGAACGAAAACAGATTGTTAAACCATGATCGCTTGACCTGCGGCTCGGTTGGCGAGGGGGAGATGGGGGCGATGTTCTCAATCGCCCCACTGGTCGTCTTGCGTCGCTTCTTAAGCATGCCGAAGCCATCGGCAGCACGGTGGGCGAGCGCAGAGTTCTTGCCCCAAGTTTCAGTAGACGGGTCTTCCGGCGCGTTCTCGGCGTCGACAAACACGTAAGAGTTGTCTCGAGCACCCAGACCAGACTCGACGTGCTCGCGTTCTCGGGGTCCTGACCGCGTGCCCTGCTGAACAGGTGACAGCTGCGATCCCTGGAACTGGTAAGAACGTTGGCGCTGGTGCGAGTGGTGCTGGCCTGGCGGATGGAGCTTTCCGGGAGGCGGCGGCGCTGGTCGCTCGGCCTGAAGCGTGTTAGGCGGGTTCGAGTACGAGGCGGAACCGCGGTTGTTGGGATCGCGAGGAGGAGCGTCAAACGCAGAGAAGCCGGGGTTGGGGGAGAAGATTCCAGGCGACATGACGGGGGTAACGGGGGACTCGCATCGGCTGCTAACAGAGCGAGCGCGGTAGCTGCCAGACGCTTGGCTCCATCGACCGGAGACCGGGGGAGGGCCGGAGCGCGAGGGTGCGCGGTGGGTGCCGAAGCCATGGCCGACATTCGGAAGGGGCGAAATCGGTGAGGGCACAGGAGAGGGGGCATAGTTGCGCTGCTCATGAACCGAAACGGAGTAGAGCGACATGGCCTCCGTCTCGTCGTCGGAAGCATCGGCGAACTGGTCGTCGTCAGAGGAGTGTCGGAGCTCCGCCTTGGCAGGCCCAGGGCTCGTGACGGGAGTGCCATTCGTGTAATTCAAGTACGTGGCGTACTCCGGGGGCAGCGAGCCATTCGAGTTGCTGGACGCGGTCGACGAGCGAATGTTCATAGAGTTCAGCTGGTTGGCGATCTCGACTAGGAAAGTCTGCAGGTCACGGTTGTCGACGACGGGGGGAGATAAGGGGATCACGGTCGAGTCCGTCATCTGCGGTGATCGCGGCGCCATGGCGTTGGGCGACATGGGGGCCTGGGCGGCAGCCTTCTGAGGAATGACAGTCGTCTGAATGTCCTTAATCGGCGTAGCTTCCTGCAGTGTTATAGCGGGGGTTGGCGCAATCGGACCAAGCGTGGGCGCACCCGTGGACGCTGTCGCAGTGTGACGAGAAATGGGGGATCGCGGACCACTGGGACCAGCGGTACGAGGACCAAGCTTCGACGGCGTGCGGAGTCCAGACTCCACTTCAGGCTCGCCAGCAGCCTTCTTCGGGGTCGGCGCTTGAGGACGGGGAGGGGGAGTGTTGTGGTGCTGAATCGTGTCGTTCTCCGAGAGAGGGATAGGCTTCCTGCGGATGGTCTGCGCTACTGCAGCAGTAGCGGTGGTGGCGGTGGCAACGGTCGGCATGGGCGGCAGGATGGTTTCACGCTTCGTAGGAGTGCGACCAGCGATAGTAGCAGCACGCCTGTGGCTGACATGGCCGACTGGTCGCATATGCGGTCGCGCACGGTCTTCCTCCGATTCCTCCTCGCTGTCTCCCTCCATGTTGTAGTTCTCGAGATGACGGTCGCGGTACTTGATCAGAAGGTGGTAGATAGCCTTCTCCCAAGTCTTCTCGGGGCTCATCAGAGCTCCATAGATCTCGTTGTCGGAAGCACCGTGCCACAAAGTCTTGAGGTTCTTCATGATCTCGGGCTCGATCTCGCTCGCGGCGACGGGACGGGCCATGACATCCAGCGACGGAGGCATGGGCAGCTCGCGTCCACCAACGAGGCGAGGCGCGTGGGAACAGAAGAACGGGTGCCTGACGATTTCGGCCATGGTAATACGCTCCTCCGGATCCTTCTCCAACATGCGGCGCAACAGATCCTGTGCGGCCGGGTCGATGTCATCAGGCATGTCGAAAAGGCCAATCTTGACCTTTTGCAGCAGCGCGCGGATGTTGTCGTCATCGAAAGGTAAACGACCGGTGAGCAGGGCAAACAGGATAATACCGCAAGACCAAATGTCGCTCGCCGAGCCGTTGTACATCTTGCCTGCGACAATTTCGGGGGAGGCGTAGTGCGGCGAACCACATGATGTCTCAAGCATGCGCTCATCCGCCTGCCACGCCGCCATTCCGAAATCCGCAACCTTAATGTTCTTGTCCTTATCGAGAAGGAGATTCTCAGGCTTCAGATCGCGATGGCAAATGTTGAAGCGGTGGCAGTAATCGACTGCGTAGATGATCTGCTGGAAGTACTTGAGTGCCTCACTCGGCGGCAGACGTCCTCTGCGCACGAGATAGTCGAACAGCTCTCCTCCGGGAACGTACTCCATGATGAGGTACCTAAGGCACGAGCGTCAGCAACGGGAAGCGAGGAGGCGGTAGCGCCGCCTGAAAGACATACAGGTCCTGGTCAGTCTCCCACACATCGTAGAGGCTGAGAACGTTCGGATGATCAATCAGCTTCATGATCACGATCTCGCGCTCTATGCCGAGAAGCAACTTCTCCGCACGTCCTGCCGCCTCGTTCATCGACAGGCGCGACGAAATGATGAGACCCTTGGGCACAATCTTGATCGCAGCATACTGTCCGGTTGTTTGGTGTTTGGCGATCTTGACACGACCTGTAGTTTTCCGTCAGCCAACTAGATCACCTCCTCGGTCTTTGCATTCAAGTACTCGGTCGACGGCGACTCGGATGCTAGCACGGCTGACGACTGGTGACGAGTGGGTTATTGCCGGAGCACTACCCAAAATGGGTTGGACGTACGGGTCCAAACCCGTCCGCAGTCTGTGCGCGCCGTGGATACTCCGTTGAATCCTGCAATGGATACGTACCCGACGAGCCCTTGCCAATGGTGCGGCCTATCCGCCACTGGCCGATTGATCGGGCGTCTTCGCGACCGCTGCTACTTCCTGACGTCGTCGACATGCGCTTGCGGCGATCACCTGTGCTCGGCCCAGCATTTGACTGTTGCTGGGGAACGGGGGCACGTCGTGAGGCCGTATGATGTGACGCGTGCGCCATGATTGTGCAAGTGGTCTGGAGAGTGAAAGCGGGAAAGGGGGGATGGCGAGTTAGGGGATTGCCGTAAAGGGGACAAGCGACTCGCAGAGGAAGACACGCTTAGACGAGTGTGACGCTGAACAAGACAGCCGGAGGGCGAGTCTTGTTTGGGCGACAATACGGTCAACAGGTGTCTACCACGCGCGGAGACAGGAAAGTGGTGCGAGAGGATGGGAAGGGTACAAGCGGAAGATGTCGCTCGCTCTTCGGACGCGCGTATCTACTTGGCCGAGAGAGTGAGAAAGCTGTGTGGTCGAGCGTGAAGCCGTCGGAAGGCTCCGTTGCGCTACCTGACGGCTACTGGACACTTGGCGGCTGACGGTCGTGCGCGACTGGAGGAGGGGGCGAGTCGGTGTGTCGAGTACGCGATGCAGGTTGATGGATGATGAGAGGTCGAGAGTGAGATGGGATAGATGACGGAGTGGATGGGACTGGAAGGGGGACGCGTTTGATGGTACGCTAGGCAGGGCAGGCCACTGGATTGCTGGGCTCTTGCGGGCTGCGGTCCGTCGGTCGCTGGTTGCAGAGAGGCTCGGGGCGATAGAGTGTGTGTGGAACGCCTGGGAGTGCTGGGTACTGCAAGGGGAAAGAGGAGAGAAAGAGAGGGAAGGGAGGGGAGGCAGAGCAGTGGGAGCTGGGTGGGTGGGAAGGAGGTACGGGTTGAAAGTCAAAGTGTGTCGCAAGCAAGGATGGTCAACGAGGAGGGGCAGGGAGGACGTGGTGAGGTTGAGTTTGGGCGAGTAGAGTTTGGAGCAGTGTTAGGGCAGGGCCTGTCGCCCGCGAGCTGGGAGGTGGGAGCAGCTGTGGGTGGGAGTGGACGTGTGTGTGTGTGTGGGTGGGTGGATGTGGGTGGTGGGTGGTGGGAGCTGAGCAAGGGAAGGACGCCTGAGATGGACGACAACAAGCTTACCAAACGCAGACGTCTGGAGGGGGCAGCCAGGGAATATGGTTGCAGGGATCGCAGGGAGTTGCAGGGCTCGTAGGCAGGTACGGATGTAGGAAGGCCACGGCAGCCCAGCAAGTGAGCGAACGAGCGACCACCCAGACGCTAGGCAACTAGGCACAAGACCCGCAAGACCCGCCGAGCGCGTACGAGGGCGACCCGCGTGTCCTGTTTTACTTCCGTCGCTCAAAAGTCAGGCGCGCTGTGAACAACCAGCTGGGCGCTCTGTGATTGGCCTGGGGGCGTCTTGATGTTTGCGCTTTCGTCTGTTGTCGGCATTTGTCACTGAATTTCTCTTGCTTGTCCCTTGTGACTGACCCTCCGACCCTGGCCATCCCTGTTATCCCTGCCTTCCCTCTGCCAGAATTCCCTGTGGTCATCCCTGAAACCCTTACCATTAGTCTGATGGGCTTGCACCACCACCGACCGACCACGCCGCCGCCTCGCCCAGTGTCGCCCAGCATGCCCAGCATCACCAGCCCACCATACCGACCGACCGCAGCATAACTCGGCGCCTCATTCTCGACACTGTGTACGTCACTTGGTCGTGTTTACATAACGCCTTTCATCGCTGAAACGTCCTCTCCGTCAGCCCTCTGCCCGTATGCGGCCTCACAGCTCACTTCTAAACCCCCACCACTCACAGTCCACAGTCACTGCTGGTCAGCGGCCAGCCAACTCCTCCCATCACCTTGATTCATTCACTGGAATGCCTCCTTACAAAACCGTGCTTCCCTCCCCCTTCAGTGTCACCCTTGCATGCTTCGGTCTGCCATTGTCCGCAACGAGCGTAGCTTGCTAATTGTGGTTTTCTGAATTCTCATGGACACCGGCACCGGCACGACTCGCCATTCACCTCCAGGCAGCCGGCCACCCGGACGCCATCGCCGTGCGAGCCGTAGCTCTTGCAGGAAGTCCTGTTCGCCTCTGACCGCTGGCCGTTCGCTGTACCTGGTCGTGTCTTACTCCAGACCGGTTTTTCCCAGACTGAAATGCATTGCTGAATGCAACACTAATGCCGCTGTAAATTCATGTGTTTGAATTGCCCACCCCTCGTAGCGCTGGGCAACCCCTCCTGGTCGCCGTTCGCCGCTTCCTCGCTATGCTCGCTATGGAGAATGCAAACATGAGGGCTGATGAGCCCAGGTGAATTCGGCGAGATATGACGACGACCTTCCATGCCCAGGGAGCAAGGCTGAGCAGGGCCGAGCAGGGCTGAGCAGGGCGACCGAATCGAATGGGGTACGGGTCTTCAGGGCCTACCGCGAGGTGCAAGGCTCCAGACCCGGGCAGACCCAGAGCGCAATGACGGTTGGACCCACCATCACCGTGCACTTGCATTTGGTAGCGGACCCTGGACCGGTCGACCTGAACTCAGCATATGAGGGTCGTTGGCAGGTGCAGAAGAATGCAGAATGCAGCACGCGCTCACGCACACTCGTTGCTGTCTAGTGTGAGAACAGCGTGATGGCACTCTAGGCATGCCAACTGACAAGTGCATTCTGCACATCAAGTGCACGGTCGTGGATGAGGACTGAATCTCAATCAGGACCTGAGCTACGGGGTGCAGCTGACCTCGGAACCGGAAGTACGCTGCCAGTGGGCGGGCGCCTGTGGCCTGCGCACCACTGGCCGCCTCAGCCTGGCATTGTTTAGATTGTGGGAGATCGACCAAGAATGCTCTGTCCTTAGAAAAAGCCAGTCGCCAGTGTGCGACGCGCCTCTGATCTTGCACCTGCGCCGCTGGCGGCGATTAGGTATGCGAACAGAGCCATCGAGGGCCACGCGGGGGCGCTCCTGATAATAAGACATTCACGGTGGCGTTCCGGCGTCGTTTTGTGGATCGAATAGACTCGGCGGTGGGCGACACCAGATGGCTCGTATGCCTCACTGGGGCGCGCCGGGCGGCCGTGCACTTCGCATCGTGGCGAACGGCGATGGCCACACACACAACACCGTGCGTATGCGCGCAGAGTGACTGTCCCCTGTCTCGCAACGTCGGGGGCGGGCCGGCCGTCCCCCGCGTAAGACTCGCGCTCGCGCAGCGTTCGGTGGATCCTTCGAACGCCATTCGGACCCTACACACGACGCCTTCGCAAGTTCGGTAACCGAGTAATGCAGTTTGAGATCCCAACAACGTTGTGCGACAGCCCCGTGCTGCCCCTTCCCCTCTTCCGAGAAAGCGAGCGAGCCAGGGGCAGCCCACGTCTCGTTGCTGTGGAACGCAGCATTCCGTGCCCATCGTGCACCCCGCCTTTGGCCGTGCAGAGGTACTGGTGCCATGGTACCGTGCGAAGGTGTGTATCGAGGGCGCGCCCAGGGCCAGCAGGGCGATGAAGGGCCACCCGCACAAATGTAACGGTTCTCCGTTACATTTCTGAATGTTTGCTCCACAACGCAAGACGTACAAGACACAAACACGCCGTGCCCCGTGGCTTCGGTTCCCTGTGTTCTGCTCATCATTGCTCAGGTCAAGGCGTCGCGGGCAGAGTCGCTCCCCCTGGCTTGGCCCACAAACATGCTGCATGAATGCAATGCCTGCCGAGCCCGACCCCTCTGCTAGTGTCCCGATATCCCGATGACAGCATCTTCGCACCAGACGTCAGAGTGACTAGCCCACTGCGGAGCACAGCGTCACGATCGACATCGCCTCGCCCGCCTCATGCCCTTGCCTCTCGTCTCGATCCCTCGGCGCTGGTGTGCCTCGCCGCGATTGAGTTACATTCTAACCTGTTCTTGCAACTTGTGCACTTTTGGGAACTCGCAGCAGACTCTCCGGCTCGATTGCGAGAGGCAACCAGTTTCCAGCGCCCAGCTCCTTACTCCCTGCAGGTGGGTATGCAAAATGCAAATACGATCGCCCCAGATCGCCCCACAAACTCGTGACAGCACGCGCAAGCGCCAACTCTCCGAGTGAAAGAAACCTTGACCTGCGAAACTAAAGCCAAAGCAGTAAGCATGCATTGCTTCAGCGCTTCGTATGGATTGTCCACGGACGTTGGGTTCGAGGCATGCGCTGGGGTGTGCGCTCGCGTGTGCACGCGCTTCGTGCGTCCGTGCAAGTTGTGTCCCGGAGAACCGGGGTGAGAGTGACAGCCCTCTCGCGCCTCGACCGAGAGTGTGGAGCTGGGACCGAGCTTGCAACCTACGATTTCGAGCTTGGTTCAGAGCTAGCAGAGCTTCGATACGCCTGCCCTCTGTCCCTGTATCCATGCCAGCTCCCGAGCCCAGGACAAGGGTTTATTAAGGTATGGGCTCGCTGCTTCATGACTCGCTCTCATGCTTATAGAATTGGACGCGTGATCTGCTTCTGGTAAAAAATCCATACGAATGTTTGTCTGCTTGCTGATCGCAATTGCGCATCAACGCTTCCTGAAGGATTAACCTCTTGGCCTGAAATTGACTGAATTGCCCAGCTGCAGCCCTCTCCATCTTGCTCGGCGGCCTACGGCTACGGCACGGCACCGAGGGACGGAGAGCGTCAGCGGCGCGGCCTTTCAGCAGATTACCAGGCTAGCATCGAGTAACGTTGTAGACGAATCTCATTCATATTGAACGGCGCGCACGGCAAGTAGCAGGAATATGACCCGCCAGCCGGTCTGAAAACCAACTAGTCGGGCTGGTAATTTGGGAGCTCGCGTTGGTGTAACAGGCTGCGGCCACTTCAGGCTAAAGACGGGCTGGCGGGCATCAGCGCATCGGCTGTCTCATGCCAGGCACACAGGCACGGACGCCGGCAATGTCAGCGACCATCACTTGTTCCCCCTTAAGAAATCACAGAATCCAGGCCCCACTGTTATGGACCTCGTTCGTGAATTGTTAGGTTCAGGCTCAGAGTCGTCAGCTCCAAAGGTCCCAGGGTTACAACCTGGCTCCAGGCGGGCTGGTTCCCTCGTACACCGCGCTTGATCTTTTTTGGTCCTTGGGTGCACGCGTGTGGTTGTTCGGCAGCTCGCTTACCAGACCCATAGGCCCATGAACCCCTCGAATCCCTCAACCCGGCGACCCCAGGTCGTCCTATTTTCCGCGCTTGGTGGGATTCCCGCCGGCTGCTCAAGGTTATGCTTGCGCGCACCTGGTTCGCTGTAGCGCCTGCAAGCTCGTCGCTTGCTGGCCCATTCACTCTGTCCGTGCTCAAGCAGTCATGCATTGCATGCTTAGTAAAATCTTAGGAACGCAGCGGTCGATCACCGTCCATGCGGCTGAGGACGTGCGCATCCTCCGCCGGAAGTCGAGATGCGATCCTGCTGAGGCAGCCGCATCAGGCTCTCCCCGACATGAGCGCATGCCGTTACCGCATCTTTTTCTGTCCTGTGACAGACCTGCGAACGAATGGCGACCGCTCGCCCCGCCGCGTTATGTAAAGGCAAGCGCTGAAACCTTGTTCTTGCGACGCTCCTTCACAGTCTGGACTTGGGAGCTGACTCGTGGCTGCATCGACGGACAGACATTCGTGGTGAGCGGCTGTCGGTTGCGTGCATTATCGTGACGTGAGACATGGTCCGCGGCCACATGATCACGTCCATTCGTGCTGACGGCCCGGTGCGCCCAGCTATGAGCCCAGGAAACGGCGTACATGAGCAATGGCGCACGCCGTGACGTGCGTTGTGAGACAAGATGACACACGAGACACGCACGCAACCCACTCCAACTGCCTCCCCACCGGTCAGAGAGGTTAAGCTTGGCCGTTTCACGTAGCGGGCCCATCGCACACCGGCACATCAGCACACCCTCGAAAGCTTCGCCATTCACAAGTGACCAGTGTGCGGGGCTCGGCCGACTGCGCTGGTCCTGATTCACATCTTGCGAGCAGATCGACCGACCTGTCGTCCCTCAGACGTCAGCAGTGCGAGAGCGAGAGGAAGATGCCCGCTGCGATCGGGAACTGGCTCTCGGAGTATCCTTCTGTGACCGTTGTGCCCGCGCTGGCTTTGTGCGTCGCTCCATGATTGAGTGCGCGCAGCTGCAAGCTCGGACTCGATACGCGCTGTGTGCCTGTGTAGGTTCGGCGCACGTTGCAGGACGTCGGGGCAAGCGGCGCCCTCGTTCGGGCCTGGCTGGCCCATGGTTCAAAGTTACGCGCACATTGCAGCTCATGTCGGCGAGGAGCGCAAGGTTCAAACGCCTCCTTAGCACCGTCCAGCGGGTGCGGACGGATGCTGTTCCTCGCTCTTCGCCGTTCCTCGATGATCTCGTCGTGGGCTCGCCTCGGTCGAGTATGCATGTGCTGCGCTCGTTTCTGGAGTGGGCTGGACAGCTTCGACCAGGACCTGCCCAGCGACTGGGCAGGGCCGATCTCATGTCCAGGGTGCTTCGCTCACACTGGGCACCTCGCGACCGGACTTTGGCCTTTGGCATGGACGTAAAAAACGTAAGGCGCGTCGTACTTCACCGAACGGGCTTGCCTGTCCTCCTTTGCAGAGGTGACGACTGCGGCTCCGTCGTCCGTCGCTCGTCGCTGCGTCACATCAGTGCCGAGGTGCCGATTACGAGTGCAGGGCGGGCTGCTCGAATCGTGTGCACCTGACCAGGCGGCGGCGATGCAGACCCGCCGTACGGCAGTCCACGGCAGTGAGGACACCATTACGGCGACTGGCAGCGGTGCGGGACAAGGTTCGCCGTCCGCCAGGGCCGCTTGCAGGGTGCGTTCGTGTTCCAGAGCCCACTGTCCTACATTGCGTCAATGCCTCGGCATGGCCGCACGGCTGTCAGTGGACTAGGGTGAGCGCGTAGCTATACATGACCTTGGCCAGGTCGGTCATGATGGGTCAGGAGCCGTACAGGTCCGTAGGAGGGTGTGAGAGGGCCGTCAGTAGTGCACCGCTGCAAGGAACACAGGGTGCTCGCGAGGAAAGGAACGATTCGAACTTTGGGGTACCAACGGCTAACGCGGTGAGCGAGCTGCTTCCGTCGTGGCGAATTCAGTGTGGCAGTGTCATTTGCTCCGGCACGATCCTGCTGTCAGTATTTGGGACCGCATCGTTGGTGTCAACGCAACGAAGGTGTTGGTCTTGCGATAGCGGTGAGATGAATAAACGAACGATAGGTCGACAGGTACCGTGAGTGCGAAGGAGGTGCGGAGTGTATCGAGTGGAGGGTGAAGGAGAGGGGCGCAAGCAGCAGACTTCAGCACCACCCACTCTCTCACTCGTCATGGGCAAACCCAAGCGCAAGCACGAATCCGACTCGGACGGCGAAGTCAAGCCCAACATCCGGGACGATCCGCCTGCCAAAGCCAGGAAGTGGACTGGCGACGAGTATCAGCTGCTTCTGAAGCTGGTCGTTGAAAAGGGCACCAGCGAGGCGTTCAAGTCGGTCCCTGGCAGGACATACAACCAGACCCGGCTGGCCTGGCGGTGAGCCCTCCCTTGCAGTGCATGCTGACCTGAAGCGACAAGGTGTTCCCGACTTGCATGAAGGCGCTTGAGGCGAGGGGAAAGTGATGCATTGAGGGTGGCGCGTGTCGATAATGGCAGCTGAGCGCGAGGCCATCTCGGTCCTATAGTGTCCATTGCACCTCGTACATGCCACCGTGCTTTCTTCTGCCATAAGGGTGGATTATTGGCTCTCTTCCTCGGAGGCAACCAATACAGTGAGGCCCCTTTGAGACAGAAAACACCAGAAGCTGGCCAGATTGTTGCATCTTGTCATCTGACAGTAGGGGAAGGCCTACACCTCCACGACGCCCCTTGCCGTAGGGTTTCGAGCACGTCCGTCTCACCACTCGACGGACTCTTTGCATTCATATTCTCTCCAGCACAGCAGAAATGGAGCGCAATCCCTCTGTCTCCCCAGACGAGGACTGCAAGCCTTCGATCTCGGACGCCGAGTTCGAGCCCTCGCCTTCCCCTCCGCCTTAGCTGAGCAAGAAGCGTCGTGTCAAAGCCGACCCCAAAGACAAGCCCAAGGCTGGCCATGCGGCTGGTCGGCCCTGGACTGGGGCCGAGTACGCTGCTCTGTTCAAGCTGGTGAATGAGGTCGGGAAGCAGGAGGCGTTCAATAACTTCCCCGGCCGCACGAGGAACCAAGCGTACCAGGCTTGGCGGTGAGCTCGCTCTTGAGGGACCAGCTCATGATAGGTGCACCATTGCACCCACTTGCATCAAGGCCCTCGAGGCGAAGAATCTTAAGTAGTTGGCTGCAGCAGTTGACGGCGATAAGTGTGTCCAGTTCTGCGTATGCAACGGCGTTAGGCGAGGTGACTGCTGAGTATCCGCGGCGGACATGCAGGCGTCCGGCGACCGAAGAAGCTCAGCTTGCTCCCTGCTCCGGATGCTGACGAGACTGAAGAGAGCGGTGCGCAGCACTCGTGAGGGGGGCGACACTCACGAGGGGGGCGACACACACAGTCCGGTCACTCGTGTGTGCACTCGCGCCCTCCTTTGACTGCTCACTGACACTCAACTCACTTTCTTCTTCACATTCTTCCTCCCCTCCTACTCCGTCGCCCACTTCTTCGCAGCAGCCATCTCGCCATGCCATCCAAGAAGCGTCCCTCTCTTTCTACCGACGACGACGAGAAGCCCGACCTGTCCGACTCAGCCCACATGACCTCCTCCGACGAGGCTGACCCTTCGTTCAGTCCCAAGGCCAAGAAGCCCCGCGGCGCCCCCGCTTCCCCCGGCAAGTCGGACAGCAAGCCGGACAAGTTCAGCCAGAAAGGCAAGGGACGCCCCTGGACCTCGGCTGAGTACGTGCAGCTGTTCCAGCGTGTCGAGGACCTGGGCAAGAAGGCTGCGTTCGAGGGCTTCCCTGGCCGTACCAAGAACCAGGCGTATCAGGCATGGCGGTGAGTAGAATTAAAGCTAGGTGATGTGCACGCATAAGCTGACAAGACCAGCAACGTCGTTGCTCCCGCGTGCATCAAGGCTCTGGAGACCAAGGGGATGTAGAGTTTAGCCAGGGCATGCATGTGCATCAGTGGCCCACATTACTGGAGTGCTGGAGAAGATGGCGCTGGCGGTTGTTCTTGAGCCCCAAGTGGAGGTGTGGTTCAGCGAGGGCTTGCGGAGGACAACGGAGACACAGCCGACGACGAGAGGGCGCAGCACACATCACTGACGTCCTGTCTCTCACCAGGCTGGCATGCCTCGTCCGCAGGCTTACGCCGTCTCATCTTCTCCTCTCAATCTCCTCACAACCCTTCCCACGCCATCATCATCCGTTCATAAGTCGATGGACGGCCTCTACCTCGATCTGACCGTCATGTCGTCCCGAACCTCTCTCAACCGCACTCCATCGCACATGAACACGACCAACACTGCCCCTGCGGGCAGCCAGCCGGGAACCGGAGCCCGCTCGACTCGTTCCTCGACCCGCGCGACGGACACCGGGTCCGTGACGAGTGGCGATGGCGGTCTGGCAGGCATGTCCCGCTCCTTCTTCGGCCTGAACCGCAAGCCGCGCCGCAACTCTGCCTCCTCTGGCAGCTCGGGGACGCCGCCGCCTCCCCCCGGCCATCCCTTCAATGCGGCACGTACCAGCCCCCGTGGCTCCCAGTCACACCCGCAGACGGGCCTGCCTCCCCAGGGTCCCACGGGCCAGCCGAGCCAGGCGAGCCAGAGCCAAGCCAGCTTCCCCCAGAGCACTCACTCGACCTCGCAACAGTCCCAGCAGTCCCAGCAGTCGGCCTCGCAGTCGTCGTACTCGACCTCGACCTCGTCGTCGCTGCCGCGAACCCAGTCCATTCCCTCGAGCACGAACCACCCTTCCCACACGGGACACGCGCAGGGCGCACCCACTCAGTCCTCGACGGGCGCCCACTCCACCCCGGGCCCTCACTCGGGCGCCCACGCGCCTCAGACCCGCGCAGCGAGCCTCGCAATGCAGAGTACGAGCCGCTCGAGACGCCGCGCACGCCCACCTCGGCGACGGCGACGACCGTCTCGGCCCAGGGCGGGGGCAGCTTCTGGTGGGCGGCGAGCCAGACGCGCCAGTGGCACTTGAACGAGGACATCCTCCTGTTCCGGCACGTGGAGCGCAATGGGGCGCTGAACTGGGACCAGGCCGTGCCGGGTCGTACGGCCGAGGAGGCGCGAATTGCCTGGTAAGTCAGGATCGATGAGGTGGGGGAGGAAGGGGCAGCTACGATATCTTGTTGCTCGAGCTGACAACAGGGTGAGCCGCGTTTCGCCTAGCATCGAGCAGTACCTCGCTGCGCGGATCCCGTTCGGCGCGCCGAGCTCGGTGCAGGAGTAACAAGTCTGTTCAGTGAAAAGCTGCGTGCGCGAGGGCAGCATCAAGTCTCTGTTAACACGTACACTCTAAGTATGCATACAATCGTACAACGCCTGCGGCGGGGGGGAGGTAACAGGGGGCGGCTACTTGCGCTTCGCCTTCGACGGCTTCTTGGCCTTGGGGTGCCTCTTCCTGCGCTCGATGCACTGCGGGCAGATCCAGTTGCCCTCGGGCGCCTTGTCGAGGTTGAGGCATGCGACGTGGTACCACTCGATCTCGCAGTCGTCGTCGTCGCACCCGATCATCTCGCCGTACGACACCTGTCGGCACGTGCAGTACACCTTGGAGTCGAGCTCGTTCTCGCCCGCCGTCGCGTCGCCCTCGGGCTCGACCTCCTCGTACGCGGCGGCAGCGGCCGCTGCCGTACTCTTCTTCCCGTTCTTCCGCGGCGGCTCCTCCTCCTCCTCCTCGTCCGAGGCATCGTCGTCGCGCCCGCGCTTCCGCGAACGCTTCTTCGTGGCGCTTCCCTCCCGGCTTCCCAGGTCGACGCCGAGCGCACCGGACGGAGCAAGGCTGTCCGCACTTGCCGAAACCGCCATCGCGGTCCCGCGTCGCTCGTCGCCAGTGTCGTCCTCCGAGTCCTCGGCCGCCTTCGCTTTCGCCTTCGCCTTGGCGGCCGCGGCGGCAATCTGGCGCGCGGTGCGCGCAACGGGCTCCGCCGGCTTGCTGTACCCGGACGCGATCGAGTCGCTCGGCGACACAGCGCGGTTGGGCCTAATGTTAGTTTTCAGGCGTGACGAATCAACTCACTTTTTGCGCTTCGAAGCGGCCTTCTTCTTCTCCTCCTTGCCGTTGACAGAGCTGACATCATCGTCGTCTTTGGTCGTCTCCTTCGCCTTCTTCTTGCGCTTCGGCGTGCCGCCGCCGTCCTTCCCTGTGAAGGGCGAGCCGGTCGTGCGGCCACCTCGGCGTCCGGCAGGCGGAGCGGGGACAGCGGGAAGAGTGAGAGTCGCGGTGTACGGCGAGGGAGGATCCTTCTCCAGCAGCGTCGAGGAGGCGAGCAGGTCAGAGATATGCCGCTGGTGGGCCATGATGCCATCGCAGGCGCCGCCGGCGACGCGGATCTTGTCGTCTCCGCCCAACTTGTAGCGCGCCGCCTCCTCTGCAATCTCCTGCAGCAGACCGAAGCGCTGCTCGGGACCGATGGTCGGGTCCTGCACCCAGTCGATAAGTTGGTGCAGTTTCCGCTCCAGATTACACAATGTTGCTGCCGTCAGTTGACCATTTAGACGAGCGAACTCACAGTAGAGGACGGCGCCGAGCTCGTTCAGGTCGCTGTGGACGCGCGTCATCTCGACGGGGATCTGGTCAATCGTGTCCATAAAGTCCTGCAGGACGAGGATGTCGTTGGTGTCGTCCTTTGACGGCGCAGCGCCAGCACCGGTAGGTGGAGGCGTCGGCGTCGCCGGGCGCACCGGCGCAGCCTTGGGCGGCATCTTCGCAGACGTGTCGGGGATGCTCGCTTTTTTCGGCGGAATGGTGACTGTTCTCTGTGGGGAGAGTTCGGCGAGTAGATAGATGTGCGTGAGTGGATGGATGCGGTGTATTGTAAGGTCGTCGATGAGCTTGACGGCACTCACTCACCACGGTCGTCGATTACGAACCCCGACTACCGACCGGTTTACACGTGTACTTGAGTGGCCGTCAAAACAAGAAGGATTGCCACTGATATCAACACGTGACCAACCACGTGCAATCCGACCTCCACTTTCGATGACCACCAAGCCAAACCTCTCCTGCAACGAGTAGAGGTCTTCCTCTCCACCTTCGCCAGCGAGGAAGACAGCCATTAGAAGATATTCATCGGCAGCTTCGGCAGAAAACAAGGCAAAGCTCAGATCCTCTGAATTCCGCGACAGAAGGAAGTCCAGAGGTTCCGCATCAGTTCACCCTCCGTAGTCCGAAGCGACGCCAGTGCCGAAGCAGAGAAGAGTGGTGAGCCCGGGCGAAACAAGCGGAGAGAGCCGCGAGCGAAGTAGAAGTTGCGAACACAACCGCGAACGTGGTGATCAGCGCAGTCCAGACTTAGCAGACAGCGTCAAAGGAAGTGTAACACACCCGCGGTGTCATTTGTCGTTTGGACAGTCGGAGGGCTGGTCATCTCCTTCCTCGCGACGGGACTGATCAAGGGTGGAATATGCACCGATACACGATACACGGCCGATCGCCGGATGGCTGGGCGATGAGGAGCGACTTTTCCTCTCCTTGCGATTCCGATTGCGACTATTGGATGATCGCATGGAAGGCGCGAAGCACTAGGGACATGCATCCAAGATACGGCTCCACAGTGACACACTACCAACTCATGTCACGTCACCGGAAGCACAACTAGCGGCTAGCCAGGAATCGGCCATGTCGTTATCATCCTGAACCATGGGACGGCTATGCGCCCGTTCGGTTCGGGTGCTCTTCGGCGGTGGTGTGAGAGTGTGGGTGTGTGTCCGAAGATCGTGTTACCGCCATTGCGTGCGAGGTGCGAGAGTACTGTGTGCTGCGACGGAGTCGTCGCATGCCATTGCGTCGCAGATGCGCACACGAAGGCAGTCACTCTGCACTCCGATCCGCAAGCTAGGCGCTCACGTACCTCTCGTCATCGCTTGTACCTGCGGAACACGCGGAGCATGGAGCACAGGCGCAACAACTGGGACAGATTTCGGACCTGGCGATCTCAGTCCAAGCTCCGCAGTCAGCGGCGAGTGAAGGAAGGCAGTAGTGGGTGAATTGTGCGTCACGATCGGTCGAGCGACGCCAGCGACGCCAGCGAGCAGCACGAGGGGCGCTTGGCGCATGCACTGGCATGCATGTACGGATTCGCACATCTGCGCATGCGCAAGGCGACAAAGGGGGGCAAGGAACGCCCCAAAGTATTGTGGATCCGAGGTGCGACAAGCGACACGACGTCCAGCAGTACCACGGCACCACGGCACGCGGCACGGGCTGCTCGCTGCTCGGTGCTCGGTGCCGTTGGCGCAGATGGCGCAGATGAATCAAACCGCTGCTACGGCATTGTACTCCACATGAATCCCATCACGCCGTTGAGACAATCGGGACGATGGTGCGGAAGTGAAATTCCAAGAGACAACGAAGGCAGGCGAAATCGAGAGCTCGACCCTGGTGGCCCACCCATGGCCACCCGCTCGGTGCCGTCGCTTACCCCGGCTACCCCGAGCAGAGTGAGATAAGATAGGTACGCCCCTTGGAACTCTCGCCTGGACCCTGTTTCCCCGCGCGACACGACCAACCCTGCACTTTTACTTTAACCTGTCACGCTCATCGACGTCCTAATTCAACACCTGTAGCACGATCACTTCGCTTCGACCGAGCGACTGTGCTGCTGCCGTAAAGAATCGTTGGCGCGAGGATCTTGGGGACCTGGCTAACGTAGCTGACCTGGCTGACGCACACGGCACGACACTAGTGCGAGTTAGACGCCGACCACGGCGACTGTGCCGTTCTCAATGAACTCATCAGACGCCACCACTACTCCGCTTCGTCTCTCGCATCTCGCATCCCCGCCCCTCCGCCCTGTCACGCTATCACGCTCCCCGCCCGTCTTGCCAGCCTTCTCCCGCTCAATCACTCACTAACCCTGCCTTCTGTCGCTTGGATCGTCCGTTTCACTCATGTCGTAAGCGTTCCAGTGATCACGACTCCAGAAGCCGGAGCAGGGAAAGCCCAATGTCACATGTACATCACATATCTACCTCTATAGCTACAGATGATTTGTTGGAGGAGGCCCTAATGGCTCTCGACTTGAGTTGATGCAGACAAGTTTGAAGTAACGTATTAATAATGATTTTGTGCTGGTTGATTGATGGTAGTGTAGAATGAGGGAGAACGAAAGCCATTGGGAGCAGATAAGCAAGGTTGCCTTTTCGAAGTCGTACAAAAGCCCAAAGTAATCGGAAGGAAAATATGCAAGTCGTTCAGAATGTGTCTAGGACTCCAAGGTCGCACCGTTGGATGTCATGGTCAAACTTAGAAGGCGGCGTACACTGGCGTCGGCCATTCGGCGGCCGAAGAGCAGATTGGCGGAGGGCGCAGGTGCTGCTGGACGAAACCGTCGTCGGAACACGTCGACCACCGGGCGTTGTGTCCTGGCTTCCAGGCTCGTTGCCACTGCGACTGAAGCGGCTGCTGCGGTTGCGGCTGGTGCTGCTGAGGCGGCTGGATGGGTCGCAGCCACGTCGAGGGAGCTCCGTAAGCGTACCCTGGCGGACCAGCATTCGCAAAAGGTGCAGGCTGAGGATTGCCGAAGCGCGTTTGCTGGGCCTGTTGGCCGGGGAAGGCCGGCTGTGATGCCATGCCCATCTGTTGAGCTCCGTTCGTCGGGGACGAAAGGTTGATCTGATGCTGCGTGCCGTCGAGCGCCTCAGGCTCATACTGCGCTTGAGGGGCGGCGGGTGCCTGTGCAGTAGGTGGATCGAAGATCGAACCGTAAGGAGCGTCAAAGTAGTGCGGGATAGCCTTGTGGTAACGGCCGTCGGGTCCGAACTGAGGAGTAGCGGCAGCTTGCAGGAAATAGAGTCGAGGCTGTGCCGGGACTCCCCATCCTCCAGCACCATTCGGCTTGCCAAAGTCGACGGCGGGGTTCGTTCCCAGGTAGCCCCAGTTCTGGGCGGTAGCAGCCGCGGCTGCGTGTCGGAGATCCATCTGCGGCTGCGTCGGCAGCTCGTTGCTGAAGGATTCCCGCCGTCCCGTTGGTAGCCGCGCGATCTGGCGGTTCAACGATGAGGAACGCGCAAGAGTGGGAACAGCAGGGGCGTTCGGTGAGACCGAGGCCGGAGCAGGAGTGGGAAGAGCGGTCGTCGACATGGGGAAGGCGGGCGCGAGCGGGTTGAAAGTCGACTTCTTTGGCCACAACCGGGCAGCCTCGTACATGCCAGCCGTGTGGAGGACATCGGTGGCGAAGGCGTCGCGGGCGGTGCGCTTGCCGAGATTGTCTCCCTGGGCCTGTCCGTGGACGTCGTACAGTAGAGGCGGCGACGCAGATCGAGCTCGACCCAACGGCTGTCCAGCGCTGAAGGGCGAGGTGTTCAGTCCGTCTCCTCCCAGGCGCTGGCGACACCGGATATGGGCGTCCAGCATGGACCGCCAGAGCTCAAAGTCCTCGATCGTAACACACAAGTTGAACTCGAGAGCGTCAAGCCACTCAAGCTCGTACTCGTTGACGTCCTTGACGGGGATTCCGAGGAACTGCGCCCATGTCGTGTTCGTGTACGTGTTGTCGTCCAAGTACTTGTTGGCAAGCATGAGGCCGGTGATGAAGCCCTGAGCTTCGGAGACCTCGTGCTTGTAGGGCTGTCGCTTACCCTCCGACACAATCTTCTTGTACTTGTAGGTGTACATCAGAGCCAGAATCGTGACACTGAAGGAGATCTGCGTCGAATGAAGAGCGGAGAAGACAAACTGGCAGAACGTCAGGTTCGGCTGCAGCTGGTTCGAGTGAACGCCAGACTGTATCGGATGTTGCGGACGACCCTCAAGGTCGAACGGAGCCGCGTCCGATAAGCTGCTGTCGCTGAACCTCCGTGACGAGGCATCGTTAGGCTTGATGTCGGCGTACCAGAAGTACCAAAAAGTTTGCGCTGCTGTTAGCATTGTCGTCCATGGGGGAAAAACAAACCTGTGTACTGGGCTAGAGGTGTCAAGTATCCTGGCTTTGACTCTTCTGTTCCGGGCTGAGCGAGGCGCATGTCTATCCGCTTGGACGGTGGTGGTGACACAGGCATGGAGTCGAGCGTCAGGGGGGCCATAAACATGTGTAGCGGTCGCGCCGGGGCGTTGGGCCCAGCCTTCACAAGGAGCTGATCTTCCATCGGTGGGGCGGGCAGGACGTCGTTATATGAAGGCACGTAATCGGCGCTGCCAGCGTTCCATGTGGACTTCAGATATTGTTCCATCATGGAGCCGTTCGAAGTGGGTCGAACCCCCACGACGCCTACTGAAGACGGCGGCGTGTGCGGCTCGACCGATGAGGGGGCGAATGAGGACGCAAGTGTTGGTGGAGGCTGGGTATGTTGTTGGTACTGGGGCATCAAGCTCTGGGCCCAAGTCATCGGTGACGTGCGGTGCACTGACGACGGAGACGCCGAAGCTGGTGGGGAGAGCGACAGCGAGTTGCGGTAGGCGTAGTTGGTGCCAACGGAAAGTCTTTGCTGACTGTTGTTGTTGGGCTGCCAAGCCCCCGAGGGCTCGCCAAAGCCCCACTGGGGCTGTTGTTGTTGTTGCGGCTGCAGGATGGCGAACGTTGCGGATCCGTGGGGGAAGGAAACTTCCGTGCCACAGATCAAGTTTTGCCACCTAGAGGATCAACGAGGAGGTACAGGAGAAGGTGTCGAGGAACTCGATCGCTCGATTGCCGTATCTCAGTGCCGATACGTCTAGAGAATCGTACTGGGTAGAAGGCAGCTCAAGGTCGAGGTCGTTGAGGAGGAAGTTGACAAAGAGAAGCAATCGGATTATGCACAGGCGAGGTGGTCGTCGTACAAGGAAAGGGGGGAAGGACGAGGTGCGGAGGGGCGAGGGAGGGAATGAGGAGGCACGAGGACGGGCGAGAGTACGTCGGACGCTGCGAGTCGTCGATCGTTGTTGTTATATCGCGGCCGCTGTCGGCGGACAGGGAGAGTGTGTGGTCTCGGGTACTCGGGCTGGGGCGAGAATGGGAGACGGGAGGTGGGGATGGGTTAGAAGGAGAACGCAAGAAAGGGGAGGAGGTTTTGACCGATGACCGAAACAAGAGAATGCAGAGAGAGAGGAGGAAGAGGTGGTGTGTGGTTGTGTGTGTCGGCGAGCGCACTGAGTCAGGGAATGCTGGGACAGGACGCAAGACGCAGATGTCTTGGACACGCGTGTGTGTGGTTGTCGTAGGCGGCGGTTCGGGCGATCCACCGGTCACTTTGAATCTAATCCACAGTCCACTCGGATCCACTCGATCCACTGGATAGGCCTTGATCCACTTTGATCACCGCGCTGTTGCACGGTAGCGCCGCAGCAGTGCGTAGTGCGGCAGCCCCGTGTACCTGTGTTGCGGCAAGCACTGCGCGCAAGCCGTAAGTCTGGAAGCGTCGAAGCTTGGAAGCTTGGCCGCCCGCCCTTAAACGGACGCCTGAAAGGGTATCCGGAACGAGCTAAGATAGGATGGGATTCCAACAATCAGCCGAGAATCGAGGATCGAGGATCGGGATCGGGGCTGGTGGGGGCTGGCGGCGGGGCGGGGAGGGCGGGGGCGACACGCACGACTGCAACGCCAATGCGACAATGCACAAGTGTCGGTCCTCTCGGTCGAGCGTTGTGACCTTCTTAGCGTGAGGCTTACCTCTAGGGGCCACGCCGCGCTACTTGTCGCAACGGGGTCCGGCAGGTCACAGGTCAAACGCAGCACGCAGTGCGCAACAACAATGCGACGGTGCACACTCGTTCCTTTCCGGCCGATGTGCCGTGCAGGGGTGTGTGTGTGCGTGTGGACGCAGGCCGTCTTTTGGGATGCGAAGGGGCAAGCCCGTGCAATGTTGTCTTGTGATGGCAAGCGCTCCAAGGCCGCGTCAGTCAGACAATGACTGCAATCGGTCGTTGCGGGGAGGGAAAGGAAAACCCTGTCGCCTGTGCTGTGCAAAGTGCGAGGGCAAGGGACGAGACGGGGTGGTCGATGTTGTGCGTCTTGGGTTGAGGGCCACTGAAAAGAGTTGGTGTCCTGCAGAGAAGGAATGTCGGTCGGGTGTCTTCTTTTCGTCGCTGCCGATCCGGCAGTGCGCACTGGCAGGGTCTGAGGCTCGTGCACCCGGCGGGGCGTCGACGAAACTGCCCTGTTCCAAAGGGAGGGCGAGGCGAGCAACGGTGGCGAGCACCAGCTGTCCAAGGCGAGGGCGCGTCCAACGTGCTTCACGCGGGCGCACACACGACACCGGAACAGGTTCCCGAATCACTTCAAAGTCCAAGCGTTCCAAGCTCTGCCGCAAACTCGGAAGCCCCAACTCCCAGACGATGGGTCAGATCCTATTGCGCGCAGGCGTCCTGGTCCCGTCCAGCAAGACAATGACGAGGGTGCGAGGGTCGTCGGCAAAGCGTAGCGCCGTCGTTGATGCTTTGGCGGCGGCGGTTGTGCGCCACTGATGCACCAGATGCAGTAACTCGTCCAGGAGTAGAGGGCTGCAAATGCAAGGGATTAAAGACCAGCGTTATGAACAGCTTGCTTTCAATCCGTAGCAGTTCCCAAGTCGGCCAAAACAATGATGGCTAACGAGACGTCGGCGCGATTGTCCAAAAAGTGGTGGCTGGCGGCCACTGGGGTTTGGAATTGAGGAAGCTGCCACTGATTAGTAACTTCCTGAATCGATGGGTGGTGCGACTGTGCGAAGAGCGCGACTGTGCGTCCGGATTAGGTCTGAGTCACGTCGCAGATATGATGCACTCGGGGCTCGGCCTGCGATAATATCGAGTGCGCGAGTTTGGAATGCACAGATCTCGGGAACGTAACACTGAGGGGGTGGTGGACGAGAACCTCGCGTGGAGAGAAGCGTACCTTGGTGCTGTACTCCAAATGTATCACACAAGCTGAGCAGAGACCTCGCAGTCGGGAATGGATGGATTGTCGTTATTCGCAGCAGCGATTGATTATGCTTGAAACAGATGGACGCTGGTTCGCCGGCGTCTGAAGAAGGCCGCGTCGCAAAGTTCGAGATCGGAGCGCAGATGGGGGGCAATACAAAGCTATGCTTGCCTTGCACTGAAACAGGCCGCCTCCTGTGTGTCGACCGGGCCGGCTCCGTTGTGGTCTAGGAGTTATTCAAGAACAAACCTGTCGACGGCTAGTGCACCGGACGGGGTTGCGTGCGTGCAGGGATTCGAAGGAACGGATGAGGAGGCGCTGGAAGCCGATGTAGAAAAGGAGGTGCGTGCGTGCTGTGGCGTGAAGGCGTGCGGTTTCGAACCGGCTAGACTGGAAGGAGGAGGAGCTTGAGTCGTGGGCGATCGTCGCACAGGTCGTACAAGGGAAGGGGGCGAGGGTAGGAAAGCGAGTGTGGGAGGAGAGAAGAAGATCTCTGCACTCGCTCGTACTGGTGAAGAGGAGACGATCGAGGAGGAGTTGAGAGTCTTGTGTGGAGTGATGTGTGTAGATGGTTGAAGACGGAAGGCACTTGATGTGCCAAGTGCGCGTGTGTGCTGTGCAGCGCTTGTCGCCTGGTGGATCGCAGTTGTCAACTCACTCGTCAGTCGGTCGGCGACATGATCGTAGCCGTTACGTGTTGTCCTGATGGCCTGTCGGCCGCGACAACCCAAACTTGACTTTGTGTTCGGACCTGATGTCCTGAGAGACCTATCTGACCTGAGCTGGTCAGGTGGCAATTCGAACATTACCGACTTGTCATGTACGAAGCGTGTGTGTCCGCTCCCGCCATCAGGGGCCGCGCAGCCGGACCAAGGAAGCCAAGGAGCCCAAGAGACCGTAGGATGTAGCTCCGTGCGCAAGTGTAAGCGTAAGCGTAATCTGAATCAAGAATCCAATCCGTAAGGTACAGGTTCGGCCTGAAGATGATGTTACTTGCCGACGGTACGGTATGGCCTAGCTGAGGTGAGCTTAAGCGTCAGGCACCATCAGGGCTCAGGGAGCAGGAAGCGGAGAGAGGAAGGGGTTCGGGGGGAGGGGACGAGGCGGGGGATCGTGGAAACGCCGGTCTACGAATGTTACACCTGAGCAATGCCTGAACGCCGTAATATGTGGGTCTAACCCGAGAAATGTCAGCATTGCATGCCCCCATTGACCCTCGAACCCTGGACCCTATCAATCACATACAGCCTTGCCTCTCACTTGGTCCCTGACCGGTCGACACCGCGGTCGCAGTGGGTTCTCGCCGACATCCTGGAGTGCTCTTGTCCTGGCGTCCTGTGATCCTGGACCGTGGCCCTCGGTCAACGTCAACGTCAATCCGTTCAAATCTGTCAAAAATGCTATATTGCCTTTCATGGGTCCTGATTGTCCTGATAACCTGACCACGCCTCCATCCCTGTCGAAAGCCTGCTCCGCTCCCCTGTGCACAGAGCCTAACCGGCGGTCAATAACGTCAGTCCGCCCTAAAGTTTCTCTCCACTCTTCAGCCTCAGCCCTCAGGTTCAAGTTGAGACTCACACTGTTGCCTGTCTTCCTGAGCGCCTTCTAATGGTCTTCGTTCGCTCCTTGCTCCTCGATTGAGCTGTCAGCCAACAATGGCCGCCGGCAGTCGTGCGCGCTTCTGATGCACCGAAGACTGTTGACTCATTGTCTGGAGCCAGACTTCGAAGCGCCCAGTAAGTAACTGGCAAGCCGTCGTCCCTGGCCTTGGTCTTAGCCTCCGTGCTGAATGCACTTTGGAGGCGTTGCCGCGTGGCAGGTACCGCGTCTATGCTTTCATGCTAACGACCTTCGACATCCGTCGCATCGCATTAACCGCCGCGGCCATTCATTGTACGGCATGGACACCATGCACTGTCCCCCGTTGCGTCCCGTTCGTATCAATTCCATTGCGACTGAACTGCGAATGGCGGCAAGCCAGAGATTCGACCCTGTCGAGCTGTTGTCCGCTAGGCGAGCAGCTGGAAAGATGCGAGACGCACCATGTCAGATTGCGAGCACTCAGATCTATTTTGCGAGCTGTGTCGGCGTCGATCTGTATCGGACCCTGGAAATAAACCCCCGAGTACTCTGCTTTCGCGGGCTTCGCAGACCAACAGTCGCTTGAATCTTGCCCTGTGTGCGCACTGCGCTGCGGTCAAGTCTGATTCTCTTTGGACGATAGACCCTTGAAAGACCCTCTGAGCTCCGAGGTGACCGGGGCTGCGGTTCTAGTTTCCTGGTCGGTGGTTGCGGAGGCGATCTGCCGGCTTGCACTACAATGCATCTGAGCGAAGGCCTCATGCTCCTAACGTACCCCGCCATAGACATATCTGATGCGGCGGATATGAGCTATATGCGTCGTGAGACTTCCCGAGCGACCTTCGACTCTCCTGACCGGCTTTCACAGTTCGATCGTGCGCTAGCGTAAGAACTCTTCCGCGTTAGCGCAGATTCCATGTCACAGGAAAATACAAGAAAGTCTCGAAACTAGGGTAAGTCGGGCTGAGGCAAAAGGGCACGCGATGGCACAGGCGCACAAGTGACAGCCTGGGGGTAAACAACGATATGGCCCGCAGCTGTCGGCTCGTGCGGCTCGTGCGGCTGGAAGCTCTATGCAGGGGTAAGGGAGGAAGGCGGCAAAGGCGAGGCGATAAAGGAAAGGGTGAGGGAGGAACGAAGCAGCAGGGGACTGGGCGCGGTAACGAACCCGAACCCGAACCGAGCCGCCGCGCGCCGTCCCTCCGTCTCTGAGAGTGAAGAGCTTTTCAGGGCCTCAGCGAGTGGCACAGGTCTGAAAGCTGCTTCTTCGTGCAGCATCCATAGTATCACAGTTTAGGCATCAGGCACGTAACAGCACCACAACGACCCGCTTACGAGACGTGATCTCCTCGTCCGTCCCATCACCCCACATATTCATCATCGCCCCTCATGGCACAGTCACTGGGTGATTACGACTCCTTCGCGACCAGCCAGGGTTCACCCAGAATAGAGCTACTGAGAATTTCAGGTCCAACACTTCTGTTTTAACCAGCGACCAGGTACCTGACAGTAGTTTTAGCTTAATGCGTGCCCCTCCCTGCATTCTCTACCCTCATCGCAGTCTTCGGGGCCCATTGCGCCTATTCATACTCAGTTCCCGGCCTCCTTATCAGGGACGATAATACCAGACAATTGGGACCACGGTAGGGTTACGGGCAACGTGTAGAGGTGTGGCGACCGATGCTGACAACATGCGGCTTCGACTCCCAATTCGCGAGCGGCTGGTGGGCTCAGCCCCTCCGTACTTGTAGTGTGCACAACCCGGCAGCCGCGTAAGCCAAGAGCACCTTTGGGTGGCAAACGACTTGCCGCATGACGCCTTGCGCCACACGCCGTAGCTTCAGGTCGCTGAGGTGAAACCGCGCGCCGTGATTTCAATGCGTAGCACCACTGTACTCTCAATTGCTGATTCAGGTGTTCACTCACCTGGCTCGCAACCGCCGCAACCAGACAAAGGCACGCCGTACCTGTACACCTGCGCACTTGCCCACAGCCCCGGGCGGCCAGCGGCAGTCTTCCGTCTAACACCTACCGTTGCACGCTCTTCCGTCAGCCCATGGTACCTTCGAGGTAGCGTGCCAGGCTGCCTTCTCGGCCGTCCTGACGACATCGGTCTTCTTGTTCTTCGTCGCTGTCCGTGTCGACCCATCCCCTTCAACAGAACGCAGGGTAGAGCAAGGCCCACAGGGTATTTGTCAACGGCCGAGGACCGAGCAGGGGCGCCCGGTGCTCTCATGATGAATGCCTGCAGGATCTTCGCCGCCGAACATGCCCAGCCTCGAGGCACAAGGACAGACTATGGGCACCCGCTATGCACGGTGTCCGCGGCGACGTCACTGACCTGCCACTAGTACTGAAGCGTCATTCCCGGCAATGAGAAAGATTTTTTTCGGTGTCCATCTGCGTGAATGCGCACAACCCTTGCAGGCTCAGGAGCCAGGGTTTGCTCGCTCCTGCTCTTCGGATCCTTGGCTGCGGTCATTGTGTGTGCGCGTTCGGGATCTGGGGCCTCGGATCCTTGGTAGTGGTCTCGTGGCCTACGTTCCTCATCATCGGACAGTGCACAGGGCCAAGCGGGTGCAACATCTAAACCTTTCACTTCACCTGTCCTTGTGCCCGTCGGGTTGTGACATAGAGGAGCCAGAATGTCGTACACTTCTCCCCCAACGCCACCCGGGAATCGAAACGAAGACATCTGATGAACATTTACCCCACATATCCACGTACCCACATTTAGGATTGTCAGGGTCGATGGCCTCCCTTCGCAGACCTGCAGGTCGTTCAGCACTGGAGCTAATTCGCACCACTCGTCGTTACACGAGCGCTCGGCACCCAGGAAATGCAGGACAGTCGGGGCTCGGGGACCACTTAGCGTTGGTCCTGTCAGGGTACGACACACATCGGCATAGTGCGCACCGTCACATTCATTCATTTGGACCTGTCTTGGCTGGCTGAATGCTTGGTCGGTGGGTTGGCGGCAACTAGTGTCAGCGTGGCCGTCGCGGGGAGACCATGCGCTCGAGCTAACAGTGAGAGTCTTGCAGCTTGCAGAGGCCAGAGCGGCTCTGGCAACGCCACTTACCTAAATGTTGATACAAGACGTCTGTCATTCGGAACGAGTGGTGGCGGAAAAGAAGCTGGCACGCCTGCCAAGCTGCGAGGAGGCGGCGCAGGTAAGGGACCTGGATTGTTGTGGCGTCAGGGAAGAAGGGGTAGGGCAATAGATGTGATGCTCATTTGCGTGTGATAATCAACTTCCAGAGGTACCCGCCCTTGTGGGTCGGGCAACAGCATGTGCAAACCCACTCCAGCACTCTACACGAGCATGTTCCTGCTTGGTTCGAGCGGGCATAGGTCCCGATCGTCCTACTTAAGACGTGCAGGCATTGAGCTGTGAAACGTAGGCTGGACTACGCGCGGTTTACGCAATATGATGTTACGGGAATAGGACAGCTTGTGGGACCTTGCGGAGTCGGAGGACTTTGCGAGTCCCAATCCGGACCTAGCACCGCGGTCATCGGCTAGCGTCGGTCGATCGGTCGCTGTAGTGACATCGGAAAGGCAGGTTCTACAGCTTTTCGTGGCTCGGGGAGTGAGAATGAGCCGATGACGGTGTTAACGACATGTACAATCAGTCTCGTGCTGCAATCCCTGTGAGTTCCGCTACTCTTGTTGGCACCAGGCACTCTCGAGTGTTGTTGTGCCTGCACTCTTGGACAACCGATACTGCATTTGGACTGAGGAGATAGTAAACTCGTGGGAACGCTACTGTGGAACAACGAGTGGAGCGCTCGGGTGTCTGCATAATCTGCCTTTGGTAACGACAATACATACGTAGGCGCTCACCCCTGCTTACCCCTCCTGCTGCTCACGGTACCATCACATTTGCACACATTATGCAGGTGGTGCGAGCAGCCATGTCCTCTTACAACTCGACGCACAGTATTACGACAGAAGGCAAGCAGTTCTCATGCAAACAGCGCAGAGAGCGGTGACGCTTGTTCGTAGAGCTATTCTCTCTATGTAATCCGTGATTTACTCAGGTGCGTCCAAGTCAAGAAAGAAGGCTTGGCACCAGATCAGTAGTCGGTCCCGTTCGCGTCGGATTGTGACCACTTGATATCCCAGCAGCTGTGTGAGCATGAAGCCCCGCGTTGCTTGTAGGTGACAGGGCTTGCACCGCATTGCCCTGGCCGCCGACTGGGAGGCGAAAGTCGAGCATTCG